ATGTATTCGTCATTAGAGTGAATAGCCCAGAAAAAGAAATTAGTTTTGAAAGGCCTTAAATACGGCTTTTTGTAAGTTTTTGGACTTTAAATAAAAGCCGTCATTATTGTAAGCCATTTTATTGATATTTACCTCAAAGATTAACGTATTTCATTTTATTAATAGGAAATTGTCGTAGCTTTTTAATATCCGGTATCCGGCCGGATAGTGAGTTACTATCCGGTATCCGGCCGGATAGTAAATTGAGGCCGGATATCCGGCCTACCGGATAGTTACCGGATATCCGTTTCATCTCTAATACAGATCCAACACGTAGAGGCCGTTTTAAGCGCAAAATAATCGACAAAAGTGAAAGTGGTGCACATGCTGGATCTAGTCTCTGACTATATCATGGGATGTAGCCAGAGACCATCCCCAGCCTGTGCACAGGAGCTAATGCAGTTATTGGAGAATGAAGTAGGGTTATGGATGAAGGATGGATGGACTGGTTACTGGGCTATGGATGGAGACTACGGGACACCTGCCTGGTTCATAGTCTCGGACTGAAAAAATGGCAGGCGGTGACTAGCCAGCGACTAAATGGGCCCCCCCTGGCGTCATGGGTCGTATAGACCGGACTGAGGGGCAACATTGGCGTCTGCCAGCTCAGGGGTGTAGAGAGGTGTGCTGCGCTTTCTCCGAAGTTACTCGCGGCGTTATGCCCTTTAACACTTCCACCCCTGGAGCATATAGCTCTAGCGTCTCCACTCTGGCCGGCCGGTTAAGGCAAGCCAGAGGTGAAAGTCCTGCAGACCCTCTCGGTTTCCACTTCGGCAAGCCGAAGACGAGGATCTTGACCGACTCTCGGGAGCACTCGGATTAACAACTGGCCCCGTGGTGTCGCTACTCACCAACAGCTCGCCACAAAGCTGCCCTGCGTTGATTGCCGCGCCAGGCGAAAGTCGAGCCACAGAATTATACGAAGCGCACGCATCAGGATGTTGGTTAGCAACCGATGATGATAGTACTCACTCATGAGCTGACACTAATTGTCCGGCCAAATGAAGCACAAAGTCCGGCTTTTGTGATTTTGGACCTGGCAACCCTAGCTGCGGATTACTGCGGACCTACACCGTTATCTGTTACTCAAGTTATAGTTATTTTACACATTTGAGACATCCGTCTGTTTGTAAGATGCAAATAATGACACTGAAGTTATCAGTAAAGAATAAAAAATACCTATATTTAAGGAAAGACACCCTAGAGCAAAAGATGTTTGTTACACAAAAATAAAAAAAATGCAATTTGACGGTGGTGATATCCGATCATGATAGTATAACTGAGCACTGCAACATCATAAACATACATTCTAATTACCGTCGAGCAATAAAAGAAACTACAAAGGGCTTGACTTTCCAAAAGCTTATCATGAGAAAGCGTCGTTCAGTTGCAAGATTAGTAACACCACTTTCTTTATAAAGCCTGAGTGATGGATTGTGACAGTGCAGTCTAAACGAGCTTTCGGTTCCGGAGCGGAGCAGTTCGCGCTGGAGCACAACTCGCCAAGGCTTATTCCACTATTCCCCGTTAACGCCAAATTGGAGCTTATAATGGGGAACAATGAACTAAAAAGTTCATTAATCCCCATTACTTTAAAAATAAAATCCTAATATAACAGCGATTAATGAACTTTTTAGTTCATTATTCCCCATTATAAGCTCGGGGAACAAAAAGTTCACTAATCCCCGTTGACGGGGATTGTCAACAGGGAATAGTGGAATAAGCCCTCGCCAACTGCTGCGACACTTTCGCCTGATGTTGTTTAGACGGCGGAGACGCGCGCCACGTGCTGTCGACAGACAGCCTTCAACGCCAGACGCATGCTACATAAAACACTTTTTAATTGCACAGCTAAGAAACTTAATTTTATAGTGTACTAGCGGCCGCCCGCGACTTCGTACGCGTGAATCCCGTTTTTCCCGCTAATTCCCGTTCCCGTGGGAATTTCGGGAATTCCTTTCTTAGTGCACCTCTACGGTACCTAAGCTACGTCTCTTCCAAATTTCAAGTGCCTAAGTTTAGCCGTTTGGGCTGTGCGTTGATCTGTCAGTCAGTCAGTCAGTTTCTCCTTTTATATATTTAGATTATTTTCACTGGAAAAATATTTAATTATGTACGTGAATTAACAATTTTATTACCAAACTTAGTCTATTGAAGTTAATCTTACGTGGGTTGAAAGAATGTTTTACATCTTAATAGAATTTTATATAAGGCTCTTTGCGTCAGAAAATCATTAGTATGTACAGTAATTCTGTTGAATATTCTTTTTCCAATTTCGTAGTGAGCCTAAGTCCAGGCGAAGCCCCGCGACGTGGGTGGGTAGAGTTTCCGCGAACTAGGGTTCTCTTGAAACTTGTTTGTATTCATTACTTTCTTAGAACCACCCTCGTCTATAAAAACCGGTTTCCAAGAATGAAAATTTTCTTTCAAAGTCAAAGGAATTCCTGAAACAGTTAATTATATTCGGAAACATTATATCCTTAAATATGCGCAACCTTATATCTTTAAATATGCTCGTAAAGCTTTGATATTCTAATACCATTATGTGGGAGCGATGACCCCTGCCTGTCAGTTGCTAACTTTAGCAAATGCGCACTTATTAGTTTATTTTCAGTTCGTACGGAGATTTTCAATTCAAGAAATAGAAAAAATACGGGTGAGCTGGAGAGCGTGACTAGTGTTTAAGTCAGACGTTTATTTAGCTTTTTGATTTTACCTATTCCGAAACAATAACCGATCTGGTAAAGGTCGCGGGAAGAGCCTGGATGCGGGCAGCGCAGGACCGTGCATTGTGGAAAACCTTGGAGGAGGCCTTTGTCCAGCAGTGTACGTCATTTGGCTGAAACGAACGAACGAACGAACTAATTTTATTCCCAATGAGAAAAAATATTTATCTACTAAAGCAACTAAAACTCAGTATAAATACCTAATGGAGTAATCAATCCTGTTAACTACAAGTTGCAGAGCATAAGTGCAATTGGTGTTTATTTTAGATAATGTAAATCAGTGTGAACCGTCGAAAGCCGGCAGCGATAATCCGACGACCTTCGTATCGAAGAGAAAGCAACTCGGACAAGGTCATCAATAGTCAACATATTGACAGGTAAAAAAACCCCGAAAATATCCTAAGGGCGTATTCACACTAATTGTTGCAAGATTATCAAACATGGGTCTAGCTAGGTACCTATAAGAGATTGACCATACAAAAAACGGTATGAGTAGTGTTACGCTTGAGATACAAAGTTAGTACCTCCACGATATTTGAGACACAAACGAGGTTTTTCCCCGACAAGCTTTCCTCGAATGGGGGATGGAAGATGGGAATATTCGTGTCACCTAATGACTTCGGGAGAAAATGGGAATACCCCAAAAGTAGGAGTACCGAAAGCCTTGAAGTACAACATAATTAATTACAACTACAATTAGTTGCAGATTCTACTTTACAAGTACCTAGGTAATAATATAAATTGGATTATGTATGTCTATCACGGGCCTAAAATTGATGTTGCCTAAAATCAATATGTGCATTTAACCTTTCTTTAGATAATACCGAATCAATTCTTGGAAACACAAAAATACGTTCGACACTTTCTTCTTATTTTTTACGAGTTCATCGGACAATTGATACGAATAAAATAAACAACTCAATTAAAAGTGACATCGATTAGGTAAATTAATTAATAATGTGCGTAAAATACTACAATTGACGAGGAAAATACAGAACGAAACATTATTTTCTGGCGGGAGCAGAAAACAAGGCCAACAAAATAATGTGCCAGTCATAACATACATAGAAATGCCAATCACCATCATTCTGAAGCCGCCTGCCACATGACGCCCAGACACATAAATCCTGACACCATAGTGCCGCTTGATTACGCCCATTGTCTCAATAAAAGTGCTTTTATGAGCCAAAAATATCTCGCTAATTGTTGTCTTGGACTTGTTGTCGTAGCTTAAATTGATGAAGATTATCTGCGGCAATCCAATCCAAAGAACATAATATGGATGTCTACTGACTTAAACCTCTCGTAAGAAATTTAAAATTTTCAAAAAAATACGACTACAACAGTAATCTCGTGGAAATGCTAGACTGTACTTAAATGGAAATTACAGACATGAAAAACCTTCTTAAAATATTAATTTAAACATGACATTTTGAGACAATAGAAAAGTTATGGCAGTCGCGCCCCACCCGCCTCAATCTTAGACACATACCACAAACGAAACCTCACCAAAGTTGCGGGAAGCCATTGGACTCGGGTCTCTAAAAAGTGTTCTTGAGGATTCCCTTAACACCCAATATGTGCGCGCAGCAGTAGATAGACGTGTACCTTTATTAAAGAACATCAGATTCAACTTTTTTTCAATAAATTACAAGGGTTTGTTGCATTTATTTATGACGCCAAAAGTAAGATGATACTGAGTGAGTGATGATAAGTGCTAAAGAATTTAAATCATATAAAATTAATGAATAATTACATTATCCTTGTGCTTTTGTTAGGTTTTATTTTTATATTTCTATCAAGCTTTAAACAGAATAAGTAGATTTCATAAACAGCTCAAGCATAGATTCCGTCTTCTAATGGGTCGAGATTTAGAAATTAAACTATACCTTCCTAATCAAAGGCTTGCTTCTGTATTTGTTTCGTGATATATTTAAGAATTTTACTAAAGGGAAGTCGTAGCAATGAATTGTTTTAAACTTTCATGGTCACTAACATAATAATTATTACTGACGGGATTGCTACGGGAAATATCGGAAACTCAAAATACAGTACAGTACAGTACAGCACATCAACCTGTACATTTTTGTTGCAAAATAGCTTGTATTAGAACGAGATAAGACGCCACTGTGTTTAGGTTGATGTGCTGTCGTCCGTACTTGGTAGCAATCCCGTCAGTAATAATAATTATCATAGCAAGGACTCGTGTAATAACGAATATATTTGTGTCCGCAGAGCCGGCGGCGCGGCGCGGGCGCGATGGAGGACGAGGTGACGTTCCTGTTCCAGCTGGGCGTGCTGCGCGACGCGGCGGCGGCGCCCGCGCACCTGCTCACGCTCGCCTACCTCAAGGACCTCGCCGTCAAGTTCGTCAACGAAAAGGTACGGGTTCATGTAAAGTCCAGTCTGCGAGCACGTACAATTTTGTCCAATGACCCCAAGCTACCCATCCTTATCGCTCGCGCGTAAATATATTGCTGTCGCGACTGTGCAACGGGCGCCCGCAGTGAGTGTGCGAGCGCGATAGCAACATAATCACGCGCGAGCGATAAGGATGGGTAGCTTGGGGTCATTGGACAAAATTCTACGTGCTCACAGACCAGACTATAGCCATTATAATCCTATCATTTTTACCCAGGAAGAGAAGGTTTTGGCCTGCATCTTACTTCATGGAAATTGATGATCATGTCGAAGGTGGTTTTACGCGGTTTTACCCGGAATCCTCAACACAAAGCTTAATTTGAAGCCATGTTAGATGTTACGAAATCTTTGTCCTTCATAGCAGTTCCATAAGAGAGTCCTTGTAGAATTTAGTACAATATTGCAAGCTACATGTTGGATTCAACATAAGCTACGATTATACATATACTGTTGAGATCCTCGTTGTGTAGAAGCGTAGGAACACAAATAGCATTCTGCCACGTTTACGTGCGTTCTTAGAGCTCGTTATTCGGACCCCATTTCTCATCATAGGAGATAAATATTCTTTATTGTTCACCACACAGTGACAACTACAAAAAGAATCATCCATAGCGAGTAGTGACTAACTGTATGAAAAAGTTCCAATGTCTTCCATTTTGAAGCATACTTTAACGCATGGACTCAATCATACCCATCTTCAAGCAGTTGTTGCACGTCCGCAGATCCCTGACAATGGACTCAACCGGCTCTCGGAGCGCATCCTGCTGTTCCGGCACGACTACTGCTCGCCCAACGTGCTGCAGCTCATCAACTCCGCCGCCGACGTCACCGACGAGACGCTCGTCGAGATCGTGCTCACTGCCAACCGTCAGTCACATTTATTTATGTTATTATTTACCCTTCTTGGAAGAAGTCGATGTATCAAAATGTGAAGTGCACTAAACTCCAAGTCAAAGTGCATTTCTCATCAAATGATTTTGTTTTAGAACTTGTAAAGCGATGACATCTAAAAAATTAATTCCCTAGCCTATTTTTGTAACATAACAATTATTGTGGACATTGCAACTACTACGTTAGTTAATATGTTCTGCCGTTTATGGATACTTCTTATTATACCCAGAGTAGGCTGTAACCCACCGCAAGCACGCATTTCAGAATGAAGGGGCCCTTTTCCTTTAAAAAAGCGAACATAAGCTTTTTGGAGCCTCCTCTGTCGCGAGGTCCCAGCTAGCCTAGAGTGCCCAATGGAAATGCCATGAAAGTGCAAGAAGTAAGACAAACTTGATCTTCATTGGTTGGGTTTTTATTGGCGGTCAAGCTGTAGATCCTGGCTACACATGAGTTGCAGCGGTGGGAACGAAAGGTTACAATAGTCCCGTGCCATGAAAGTACGTAATGTTTTAAATAAACAACTTGAAAAAATCGAACTGCCTAAGGCGAGAATCAAACCCACGAAGTTAGTTTGAGAAGCGACTCTAATCGCAGAAATTTTAATAGCGATAGGTACATTTTGTGCGTATCTCACTGTATGTGTTTCTGTTGCAGCGCTGCTATGCGACGGCGGGCTGGAGGCGGCGGCGCCGCGGCCGCACGCGCTGGCCGTGCACTCGTACAAGACGCCCACCTTCTGCGACTTCTGCGGCGAGATGCTGTTCGGGCTGGTCCGACAGGGGCTCAAGTGCGAGGGTAAGGGACACCTAAACACCACCTATTACATCTTCTCAACAGAAACCTCTGCGCCCAGCAAAATTCTTCTGACGTGAAAAGGATTACGACGGAAGACGTAGCGTGGGCAGGCCCCCCACTAGGTGGACCGACGATCTGATGAAGGTCGCGAGAAGAACCTGGATGCGGGCAGCGCAGGACCGGTCGTCATGGAAATCCTTGGGGGAGGCCTTTGTCCAGCAGTGGACGTCATTTGGCTGAAACGAACGAACGAATAGGATTTATGGAGGGTATTTATTGTACTGTTCGCACACGCCTTATTGTTTTGCCTGCGTAAATTAGTTTTCATGTAGCAGATATTTGAACTTAGTATAAGACCTGACAACGATGACAATCGCTACAGCTCCCCCATGTTTTTTATTTATTTATTTGCTTGTGACATGTACACACGGCCACACTGTTAACTATCCATTTCCGTTTTTGCTCTCGCTCTCATCAAATGGTGATTCTTTGCGATAGAACGAGACAACAAGACAGGCAATGGATAGTTAACACTACTGCCGATGGTACTATCGGGGACTCGAACGCCTTGACACCTTAAGGGCCTAAATTGTTTGCACACACACGCTCGATTTTGCTCCGCCCCCGTTCATTCATGTTTCGAGTCTAAGCAGCGTCGGCGCACCACTGTAGATGTTTGCCCTAGCAAACCAAGCTCTATGTAAAGCACTTAGGATTGAGTATTGCTTATTACCCGCATCCGTAGCGCTCGTTTGGCAACGTCGCATTTTAGTCAATTTGAAACCCAATTAAGAATCGCTACAAAATATTATATGAGGCTTCGTGTAAAATTTGAACTAGCGATTGCCCCGCTCGGGTCACAAAATTGCTATCGCACATTCCGAGGTAACTATGCAATTTCCCGAGAAAAAAGTAGCCCTTTCTACAATTATTGTTGATATTATGAGTGTAAATCTCATGATATTAGTTTAGCTAGTTAGGGCGAGAAATACAAAATCATACAATTACTTTCGAATTTTACTTATTTAATAGGTATTTAATTTATTCGGAACTAATAATTTAAAACAATATGTTATTGAATTAATTAGTAAAGAGTTAAGGAATATTTGTGGCTTAAAAACAATTATTGTAAGATCTGGCTATAACTTTCTTAAATCCTTGAATGTTAATAAAAACTTATAATAGGTTTCTATTTATTTTTAATGCATATTTTGTTTTCCGTTTTAAAGAAACACTTATCTACGTTATTAAAATTTAATATAAATATTGCACTAGGTAGCAATGATCCAGGTAATTGGTTATCGTAAATATTATAATATTAAGTTAGTTTTATTTCAAATTCAATTTTTTATTGCACATTAAGTGTCTTTACACAAGGTCTTAAATCTATAACAATTAAACTTCAAACTAAATAACACTTAAACAGTTAACAATGTATAGATAAGTTTGTAAGTAAATATAAGAATTATTTTGAGAGGCATGGTTCAGTAATCGAGCGGAGGTCAATAAAAAGGCAATCAAACAGTCCAATTACTAGCACGGGTCAACACAAATCAATCGGTTATTGATCACGAAACTTCACAAAAAAACAAAGGAGAGAATATGTCGACAGATCGCCAAAGCAAAAAGCAGACAGACCTCGTATAAAAACACAATATTAAAAAAAATACATATCTATTTGTTTGTAACCAAATTCTATTATTAAAATTCTAAGGCTCAGTTGCACCATCTTACTTTAACTTTAACAAACGTCAAAATTCTGTCAAACTCCATACAAAAAGCACCGGTTACCGTTATAGTTACGGTCAAAGTTAGATGGTGCAACTCAGCCTAAAACTAAGAAAGATTGAAGAAAAAGAAACATTTCGTTTTAAACCTTAACCCTATGACAATAAAGTGCACAATGGTATTTCGTATTGCAACCTAAGCCCTGATTGTCTCTTATTGGTCGTAGTAAAAATATAGTAAAATGCGTAACCAATTAGAGACGGGGTGAGCACGTGACCGGAGCGATGCGCTTACGCTAAAATTTCTACAAAGTGGTCAGGCGGAAGAGTCCCCGATAGTACATAGATAGTACGAGAAACTATATTCCCACTTAGTGTCGTGGGACATCCTTTTTTCCAAGTCCATTTTAGACGCTCGCAGCAGGTTCAACTAAAAGTAAACGTATTAATGACCTACCTTCGTGTCCCCAGGCTGCGGTCTGAACTACCACAAGCGCTGCGCCGTGAAAGTCCCGTCCAACTGCACGGCAGGCGCGGGCGCGGGCGCAGCGGGCGCGGGCGGGCGGCGCGCGTCGGCGTCACCGCGCTCGCCGTCACGCGCGTCGGCGCACAGCCACGCGTCCCACGACGACTCGCTGGTAAGGCGCCTCGCCGACCTCGTCACGGGCAACAATTGAACACGCTGAAAGAGGCATTAAAACAGTTGGTCCCTTGACACCATAGTTGCAAGACACAGCTTCTTACATTACATGCCTAAAAATATTTTTCTGTTTGCTCTATAGGGTATTATTTGTCACCACCAATCAATTGACGTACTTTTTAAAACTGTCAAAACCAGACTCTCCCATAGATTTGGTATGGCAATACTAGCCAGTGACGTCACTGCAACCATTACGATGCAACCAAAAATCTTAATTTACAGGTAATTTAAAATGAATTAAGTTTTTAATGATGAAGTGCATTTTTTAAAAAGTTGTGCTTGTGATGGCAAATACCCAATTCTATTTATAATAGCATTGTAATCATAAATAGTTAAGTTCTTCGCTTGGCAAACATGTGACTTCATAACTCAATTATCGGTGCTTTATAAAAACCTGTGGTGTCAAGTACCCATTATTAAATTAACATGACTGTGTTGTAATGACACTGTACACAAAAGTAGTATAATCGGCGACATATTTTTTTATGAAACTACGTTAATTTATAATTTGACGTGTTGCTTTTTGACGTTAGTATACACGCCTTATTAAAAATACTTTGGCTTTATGATACGTCATCAGCATCACAAGATGTTAAATGTGCTACTAAATAGTAGGAGTTATTAGTAATGAATGAAGTCAGCTTTTCCTATTTAGCCTATGCGTTGCAAATTTTACAATGCTTTATCTAGTGTTTTATTATTTTAAAGAAGGCTACACTTGGCTTCTTTTCTTAAAAGTAGCTGATTAAGTAAAATAATGAAATAAATAAAATATTAAAACTGTCAATCAATTGAATATTAGATGTTTGTATATTTAAAAATTTCATATCACATTACTGTTGTTGTTCGTTTGATAGTATTAATTATTAAACCTACTGAAAATGATAGATCTGATGAAACTTTAGCCTAAGTATAGTATTACAAAATTGTTTTTACGTCTCTAATCCAACTAATACCTCGTACGATCGAAGTAAAAGTACATAATGTAATAATTTATTAGTGTTTAGGTAAGAAACAAATTATTTTCATTGAATCTCCTTTTAGAGACTTTTACAATTTTGACTCTTTTTATAAGTAACATTCCTCGAATTTAAAGTTATTCTTAAATGATATTTTAATAATTTAGGCTAAGGCTATTGATTTATTTGATTAATCCAATTAATTGTATTTAATGTGAATAGAATTCACAAAAATTATTTACTTCCGTCCATTTTTTTATACTAAAATTATTTACAATGTGTATTGTTTTAGTTTTAGCTACAATGATTTTATGTAACTGTGACTAACAGACTAGCAATTGGGTGGTGGGTAGCATATAATTATCCACAAAAACTATAAGATTGTCACTAAACTGTTTATTTCAATAAAGATCTTGTCACAAATTTTTGCTATTTTATTTGAGAACCTATGGTACCCATCATCCAATGAAGTAGGATTTTATGAAACGCTTATGAAATAAGCAATAAAACTAACTTAAAAGGAGGAAATAAGAACGTCAATAAATTTAAAGTTCTGTGCCTTTAGAGGCACACATGTAGCAAACATCGCAGAATGTGTGACTTTGAAACCCCCGTAATACATTTATTTTCAAACATCGTCAAAGTCCTATTATACGTACAGTATGGCCTTAGGCATACAGTCGCCGCGAATCTAGTAGTTGCCTGGTCACTGGAAACCAGTAAGCTGACTAGGCCAGGGGTTCCCGAACTTATTTTGTCTACTTTCCTTTTTTGAGAATAATTTATTATTTTTTAGCGCCCCCATTTTTTCAACTACTTAAAAATCTCAATAAATTAAAACTCCCCGATTTTTTTATGGGTCTCTTTAGGTGGCTGCAGGCCTAAAGGCCCTCAATAGGATTGCAGCCACCTTGTGGCGTCATTGCCCACTTTGGGAAAGACTGCTCTAGGCAAGATTACAATATGAATTTCGCCACGAATTCAAAAATGGTCATTCATTTTGTTCTATTCGCAAAATGGTCACTCACATGTAGGGTTTCCAGGCGTCCGGATAAAGCCGGACATAGTTAGGCTTTTTGATTGCGTGTCCGGCCAAAATAACCGATGTCCGGTCTGTCCGGCTTTTGTTAGACTTTTTATTTGGCTGCCGCGCCAGGCGAAAGTCGAGCCACAGAATAAGGCACGCACGCATCGGGACGTTGGGCAACCGATGATGATAGTACTCACTCGTGAGCTCACTAATTGCACCGGCTTTTAGGGAAAATGTCCGGCCAAATGAAGCACATAGTCCGGCTTTTGTGTTTTTGGACCTGGTAACCCTACTCACATGAAAGCTGTTTAACATTTTCAACCTACAAGAACAATTGTTTCAAAATATGTGACCATCTTGCGAAGAGAACGGTCTGCGTCAAACCCGGTACTACGTCTCCATATGTATGGTCCCAGCTCAACAGCGCCGACAAGCGCAGCCGCTCGCCGTCGGGCTGCGGCGCGTCGGTGGGCGCGGCGGCGTCGCTGGGCATCCCGCACACTTTCGAGCTGCACTCGTACACGCGGCCCACGGTGTGCCGCCACTGCAAGCGGCTGCTGCGCGGGCTGTTCAAGCAGGGCCTGCAGTGCCGCGACTGCCACTACAACGCGCACCGCAAGTGCCTGCCCTTCGTGCCCAAGGACTGCAACGGGGAGATCCGCGACCCGCACGGTGAGACTTTTCTGCTCTCGTTATGGGACATTGTAAAGTTATTTTATATTCCTGTATCTATGCACACCGAAAACCATATTATCATTACTTTTTGGCCTTGAATGTGCATGAAAAATACTCGACAACAGTATAACGGTCATAAAAAGCACCCTGTGCAAAGTTTGATGTAGTCCCACATGAAGGATGACCAGAACAGTTGAGTAGTATAAAGTCAAGATTCGCTAGTGCATATTTCCTACCCAACCTATAAACTGTAGGATACAAAAACAGGCTTATAAAACGGGACTATTCCCACCTCTCGTTCCCACCACTGCAACTCCTGTGTAGCCAGGATCTACAGCTTGACCGCCACAAAAACCCAACCAATGAAGGTCAAGTTTGTCCCGGGGGAAAGTTAAACTGTCATTGGACCCGCAACGAAATTAATCAGAAGAACATAGGAGGAGTTCGAAATTAAGGTTCGACTTCCCTCCATTGCAAAGCGGATGACAGGTGACAAACAAAGGTTTAAAACCTTTAAGAAAAAGATTATGCACCACGGACAATAAATTAAATTAAGGGGGCCTATCTTATGAGCAATTAGCAACTACCTGCCAATAATATTTTTCACAAAATCGCTTAAAAGCACGGAAATTTTTCCTTGTCGCGACAAGATCGGTGTAATAAATTGCGGAAACAGATGTATGTTGTATTGAATTAAGCATTATATCACGTTCATGTTTCCAAAGATCACACTCCCACAAGATATGATGGGCAGACTGCTCATGACTGACATCATCAGTGGAACACTCGCAAAAAGGAGACGGAACTAGTTTGAATTCGTGAAGTTTATGTTTAAAGTTGCCATGTCCCGTGAGGAACTGCGACGAGCAATGGTCGATTTCTAACCATCGCCTAGTTAGACGTTCGCGTACATTCGGGAAGAATTTATATAAGTGACGTCCTTTGACTGACGTATCCCATCTTTTTTGCCATTCATTAAGTAAATCTTCTTCAACGACTTCTCGGGAATCAAATAATCGACAAAAACAGGCTTATGAAAAATAATCAATATATTTTGAAATATGCACCACCTTACAACTAAATGCGACATTTTGGTTAGTACATACTTAATATTATGTTCATTAAGATATGAAAAAGCCTAAACTTAATCGTAAGATTGGTTACTTCAAACACGAAGATCTTCATCTCTGATTTCCGTCTTTTATTACACCCCTATACCCAAGATCCGATATTACCCTGTATCGTGGCTTATCAAAGTCCCTCGCTTGTGTGCAGGCGAGTACCAGGACAGCAACAGCACGAGCAGCGAGGTGTCGGACAGCGCGCGCCTGGACGACGAGTCCGACGACGGCGACTGCGCGCCCGGCCGCGCCCACGACGACGACCAGGAGGTACGCCCGGGAAGCAGCTTTGCAATTAAATGCTATGATACTCACTTACTGTGATAACTGGAAATATAGAGCTCAATAAAAAAGCTCAGTGATTTCGTCACAATTTTATCCAACACATAGAAAGCAAGAGCCAGTGAACATCAAACCTTCGTTATTTTTTAAAAGCTGAAAGTTTGTCAGCACATACTCTCAGCATAGGTCGTTGGACCATCATGAACTTTGTCTTGATTTCAACCAAAGGACGTGCACTGTAGGATCAATAATTTTCCACAACGATCGATCTTGCGCTGCCGGCATCCAGTGCTTCCCATCACTAGACCGTTGTTTCCGAGTTCCGAATGAAAGACCTTTTGGTTCGTGGTCCCCAATTGAGAAGTTTTCTGTCCCAACGGCCATCAGTTCCACGACCTATGTAGTGAATTATCTTTACATTTGGACAATAAATTGTCGCAGGATTATTAATAACAAAGAACCTGTATTAACATATGTAATGAATATTATAAATAAATTTCTTATTCTTATTCAGGTGCAGCTGCGACGCAACCACGTGGAGGAAGCAGATGAGCCGCAGCGCGACGGGCTGCCCGAGCGCTCCGTCAGCCGGCCCAGCAGGTGAGCTACACTAACGCACGCAGTGACGTCATTCCGCTTACTGTGCGCGCGTGACGTCCGATCTGTATGTTATTTTGTTTCAAACTTTGAGAGACCACACATGACGCGACCATTTCAAACTGGTCGCGTCATGTGTGATCTCTCAACGGAATCTATGGCAGAAACTTAGATGCAACTCAAAAGTAACCAGAAGTTGCAGTTTCGTTGCAATTGCGTTTCACCGTGTGTTCTGCTTCTGGGCCTAACGGGATAATTATTATTGACGGGATTGCTACCATGTACCTTACCTTACCTACCTGAGGAGATTTCGAAAAAGGGTAGACCGATGTCTGCACGTAATATATCACTCGCCAGTTTCCTCAGTTACTCCGTTGATCATGGCACTTGCAACAGTGCCGAAATTTCTGAAACTCGAAATTAAGGTACTATCGGCAACAGTGTTAACTGCCCATTGCCAGTCATGTCATCTCGCTCTATCGCAAAGAATCGCCGTTTGATTAGAGCGAGAGCAAAAACGGAAATGGATAGTTAACAGTGTGGCCGTGTGTACATGATAGCAATCCGGTCAGTAAAATAATTATTATGTATGTTATTTGTTGGTGGCGGTGTGGTAGTGTGGTTTCTAAGGCTGTGTTGCACCACCTTACATGAACTGTAATGACCAGTGTTTTTGTATGGAGTTTGTTATCGTTAAAGTTATCGTGTGCAGCACACGCAGTCGTTTCTGTTACATAATACTTTATTGAACAGTTCTGCCACAGTTCTACTATAATACTATTATTAACTATCCATAAATACCGCTGGTCCGCACCTGTGTCCGGCGCGTGTAAGTTTCGCGGCGCATGTATCGCGCTAAGCCTTGAACTTACTCGTAAATAAACAATATTAAGTACCTAAGACAACATGTTATGTAAAAATATAGTATTTTATATTTGCCAGATTCCACGAAACTATAATTTAATTTGCTTTCCACAAGAAGGTGACTTTTAGATACAGGTATAGGTGATTTGCGAATCTACTTGTCAAAACAAATTTTCTGCCAAAACAAACTATCGTAAAAGCTCTGTTGAAAACCTCAATTTATTTTCGATCAGTTACGTAAACCCAATACTTTGAAAATTGGTCAACTGCAGAATACTGTTATCCAAGAGCAGTCAGTGTTTTAGTCTTAAGAGAATTGCTTAGACCTACTGTCGTTGGAGGCATAGCTTCATAGACGCATATCTCATGAAACTATCTAACTCTGTCACGACGTAACGAATACGCGCCTACAAAGCTACGCCTCCATAGATGGCACAGTTACACTACGCGGGGAATTGACCGATATTAATCTAAACGCGCACCTCAGTTACTTTCGCCGTTCATCGCCCATACTTCGCTCTGCGTCCTCGAGCTTCTGTTCGATCAATTTGCCGCATAGTGTAACTGCGCCTATAGTCTGGTCCGGCAGCACGTAGAATTATATTGCTGTCGCGACTGTGCGGCGGGCGCCCGCAGTGAGTGTGCGAGCGCGACAGCAACATAATTACGCGCGAGCGATAAGGATGGGTAGCTTGAGGTCATTGGACAAAATTCTACGTGCTCCCGGACCAGACTTTAGACAGTAGGCATGTCCCCGCGGCCTTACCGGGCGCGTTGCGTCGTGGCGTGCCCGGAGTGATGTTGCGACGTTGCAGCTCGTCGTCGTCGCCCAGCGCCAACATCCCGCTCATGCGCATCGTGCAGTCCGTCAAGCACACCAAGAAGCGCGAGGGCCAGTGGCTCAAGGAGGGCTGGCTGGTGCACTTCACCAATAAGGATAAGACGGTCCGTATGAATTGACTACTATTTATGTTTCTTAAGTCATAACTGAGTAGTCCTCAGTTAGCAGTCCTCAGTCAGTACGTCAGCAAAAGAAGACTTGTAAAGCGGGTTTTCCACGAAAATCGCTAGACATCCCTAGTTCATTCTTTGGCGCCGGTGAATGCGTGTGTCATATCATTGTTTTCTACCACTCTTTACTTTGAAGATTACTGACTCCTTTTAACTCGTATGTTTACAGATACGGCGTCACTACTGGCGTCTAGACAGCAAATCAATCACACTATTCCAATCGGAACAAGGCACAAAGTACTACAAGGAAATACCTCTCAATGAAATCCTGGCCGTAGATACTGCAAGACAACGACATTCTGGTAATCATAAGTTAATGCAAACGATAGTACACAATAAGGTCAGGTTCGCGTCTTTGCCCTGTTCCTATGTAGTAAATTTCATGACTCACTTCTACATATGATTTCTTAGCTTTAAGGTTGACTATTAAGATGAAACAACTATATGGGGGTTACAGTAAAGTTAAATTCCTCTCAAAAGTCTCAGTCCTCCAAGAACTTGGCATCACACAGCGTCTTTCTTCGTCCAAAGTCATATTCTTACTTTCTTTGGCCAGATGACACGTAGAGAGAGACGACAGTCATCTGTTGAACGACTTGTAGTGCAGGGGAAGGTTGAAGACACAAGAGCGCGCAGCAGGTCGCCCATGCTCTGGATCGATCAGGTCAAAAACGCACTCTGCGAATGTACGGGCTGCAATACGGGAGGCATGTCGACTGATAGTGAACTTCGACACCAAATCTGCCAAGAGTGTAGCTACGAAAAAGAAAGTCTGTTTTCCTTTAATTTGCACACTAGACTTATATGTCCACGGTTGTTTGCCCTCAGACGTGATGCACTGCTTCGAGGTGCGCACAGCGAACGTGGACTACATGGTGGGCGTGGACCCGAGCTGGCAGCTGCCGCCCGCCGCCGCGCCGCCGCTGCCGCCGCCGGACTCCGGCGTGGGCGCCTACCTCGCGCGCTCCTGGGAGACGGCGGTGCGCCAGGCGCTCATGCCCGTCACCCATCACTCAGGTAACACGACACATGGTGGCGGGACCCGAGCTGGCAGCTGCCGCCCGCCGCCGCGCCGCCGCTGCCGCCGCCGGACTCCGGCGTGGGCGCCTACCTCGCGCGCTCCTGGGAGACGGCGGTGCGCCAGGCGCTCATGCCCGTCACTCATCACTCAGGTAACGACACAGAAGCTTCTGGAGTGTTAGGTGACATTGGACTGAAACTACCGGTATGCTTTAGGCTAGCTGCTGTTAGAAGATAACGAACGTGTAAGTCGGATTATTATTACTTTATACCCAATAACAAGGCTCATTAATATGATGGATACCACATTTTCACTGAGGTATAAAAGTATGGCTACTCATACTTTTATACCTCTTTTGAGCGTTACAGTAATGAGTACAAGTAATGTCAAAAGTTTGACATTTATGATTCTGGTAAATCCTGGCGTATTCTAAAATTATGTCACGCACAATCCAACTGGATTCCTCCATTTACAAAACTCAGTTTATCACTCGATTCTGATCAGTCAGAAGATAATCATACAATATACAGTGTGAGTCACGTTAAAGTGTACATATGAAAATAGATGAAACTAGACCTATTTTTATCGACAAGAAAGAGGTCAAATTTTTTTTGAGATTTTTTTTTAATTTTTTATAGATTTTTTTTTCTTCCAATTACTTATTGTAAAGAAAACGTAATAACTTTTAAACTAAGCGGTATATTCTGATAAAATAAAAACAGTAATAATGCCAAATAACAGGCGATACTAAAAAAATACATAAACAGGGTGTCCACTGCAAATGTTCGAAAAAATTCCCTGACTTTTCCCTGACAATTTTCTCAAAATTCCCTGACCAACTATGTATACAACATGTCCCAAAATTCAAGGATAAGCCGACGCCACAGGATGGACATAGTCATGATTACTTTAGGAAAAATAATGAAAAAAATCTATCTCAATTATTTTTTAACTTACACAATAAATTATGAAATTCAACGAAAATTGACACCCCTTATGATATTTTACATTACCACGACCACAATTTTTCAATTATTCCTGGTTTTCTGTTTATATCGGCAACTTAAGTAGTGCTGCTGTTCACCCCAACTCTTAAAACCCCCAGAATACTTGCAGTTTTTACACAAAAGTTAATCAAAATATTTTATTTCCTTAAAATTTTGAACGATTTTTACTTTCACACCACTTTGACTCATCGTTTTGTAAAAAAAAAGGATGAACACTACTGCGGCAAGTTTTTTTAAAGTTGACGCAACTATCTAATATTCCAAAATGGTACTCTAAGGCCTCAGCCTCGAACTTAGCGGGCAGCGGGGCGGGAGCGGCGGCGGCGCGGCAGCGGCAGGATCTTACGCGTGAAATCAAATAGACCGGTTCTCGAAAACAGCGGCGCGGCAGCGGCGCATTTTGATGAACTTTCATTTTATACTTTATACCTTCCATTCCATTCCTTCCATTTCCATTTAAGCAATAGAGGGCCTACACAGGCTCTGTGCTTAAGGCCTCGGATACTCTTAATCCGCCACTGCGTACTGTAGATGTAACTCCATCCACCAAACCATTGGTTCCCAAAAACGGGGGGCGCGCTCCCCAGGGAAGACGCAACAAGGACCTTTAAAGGGGGCGCGGGCCATCTGTGAAAAACCTGCGACCGCTGAGATAAAAAGCATTTCAGACTGCTCGATACGATACGACCAATAAATAATCTTGACTGGAGGAGCGTCTTATCATAAGTTTGGGAACCAATAAAATAAACGCAAACGAAATTATTGTAATAAACTGGTTTATTTGTAATTAATTTANGTCCTCGATAGTACACTTTAACGTGACTCACACTGTATTAGCCACTGTATCTTCGTCAGCGAATGACTAATGTTGTCGTAGCCACTTCATCTTCTTTGATGAAAGACTAAGAGCGTTTTCACATTAGGGCGTTAGAAGCACGGCAGCGGCGTTTTTATAATGTGAAGGCGTGCATCCGCTGTCACATAGTATGAAATTTTCGGCAGCGCGTCTGTCGCGCTGCTAAATCGCCTAAATGTAAAAGCGCTCTAAGGCAGGGTATTCACCTGCCATGTAACGTAACCAACCTTCAAGTGAGTACGGCTCGCCCACGGTCATCGCGTATCTGGCTGCGAGCTCCTGAATCCTACTGCGAGCCGCCTTTGTGCTCACAGTGATACCGCCAGTCGGCGGGTCGCTGCGATCTCCCTGCGAACCACGCGCGAGCAGCTCGCAGCGGGCTCGTGCCTATGTACTCACTTGATACCGTATCCGATACATTACATGCTAAAGTCTGGTCTGTGAGCACGTAGAATTTTGTTGCTATCGCGCTCGCACACTCACTGCGGGCGCGCGTCACAGTCGCGACAGCAATATAATTACGCGCGAGCGATAAGGATGGGTAGCTTGGGGTCATTGGTCAAAATTCTACGTGCTCCCGGACCAGAATTTACCCGGTATGCTTTAGGCTAGTTGCTGTTAGAAAATAACGTGCGAGTCGGATTTAAATTACTTTATGCCCAATAACAAAGCTCATTATGATGGATATAAAAGTATGAATAGCCTTCTATTGAGAGTTACTGTAATGAGTAAGTACTAGTAATGCCAAAAGTTTGACATTTATGATTCTTTCTTCTTCTTTCTTATCCAACTGGACTCTTCCATATACAAAACTCAGTCCATCATTCGATTTTGAATATTCTGAGGTGGAATTGTGTAAAGCAATCGTTATCATTTGACAGTTCGTAACGTACGATTATTCTGTCAAACGCTTTGTTTAACTGACTTTATCGTACGTTATGAACTGTCAAATGATTACGATTGCTTTACACAATTCCACCTCTGATCAGCCTCAAGATAACCAACAGAGTATTAGCCTTATCTTCGTCAGTAAATAACTAATAATGTCATAGCCGGTTCATCGTGTTGGTGACTAAAGCTTGATCGCACTACAGCGGAGGCGAACCCGGACGCGGAGGGCGGCGAGGGCGAGGGGGACGGGGAGGGCGGGGCGGCGGGCGGCGCGCGGCGCACGACGGAGATGGCGCAGGTGTACCAGATCTTCCCCGACGAGGTGCTGGGCTCGGGCCAGTTCGGCATCGTGTACGGCGGCCTGCACCGCCGCACGCATCGCCCGGTCGCTATCAAGGTGAATACTTCTGTCTTGCACGACACCATCCTGCCAGCATCTGTGTTCACAAACTTTTTACAAGCTTGAGAACGGTTTCACATTTCGTTTCGTTGAATCGGAATCCGTGAAAATGCGTAGTCGCTGAAATATTTTTATGTTAGTTTGTGCCCTAGGATTCGGAGCGGTATCGCTCTAAGGACTCCTATAAATTTAGTATGATAGGGACAAGCTAAGGCCCGGTTTCCATGAAATTAGATTTCATTCTCCCAATTTCATTCAACCTAAATGACATCTGAGGTGGAATTGTGTAAAGCAATCGTAATCATTTGACAGTTCATAACGTAAGATAAAGTCAGATAAACAAAGCGTTTGACAGAATAATCGTACTTTATAAACTGTCAAATAATTACGATTGCTTTACACAATAGGTATGTTTCCTGGGTCAAAAAGCAAGAGTTTTAATTAGTCCGTCAGTTAAGTTATCAAAAAATACTCTACACGTATTTTTCATTTTTTCAAACTAATGAAAAGGATAGTGCCAGGGTCTGGACCAAGTGTTGCCCAGAATCAACCTATAGTGCATTTTTTTCCTCAGGCCTATACTAATGTGTAAACTGAAGCGCACTGAATTCTATCCCTGGAGTTAAGAGAAAAAAAGAGTTTTGTTTTGAATTATTTACATACAAAATATCATCGATGTATACGTACTACGCATTAGGTTTCGCGATTATGGCATTAAATAACACTCGCTATGTTGAACTTAACCATAATGCATCCGTACACGTTACTTTAGTGCGATTTAGACATTCTTTATAAACGATCTAGCGCTGTTTTAATTGTTTGGTAAGTTGAAAAAATTCATTATTTCCAAAATGAAGCAAGAAGTTTTAGTTTTCTATACTTGCAAAGAAACAATTTATTGATGTATTACAATCGATTTTTGAAGTTATTTTAAGCTAAAACTTCTTGCTCCATTTTGGAAATAATTAATTTTTGTCAAGTAACCAAACTACTGCAACAGCGCTTGATCGCTTATATAAAGAATNAAGATTATTTTAAGCTAAAACTTCTTGCTCCATTTTGGAAATAATTAATTTTTGTCAAGTAACCAAACTACTGCAACAGCGCTTGATCGCTTATATAAAGAATGTCGAAGTCGTACTAAAGTAAGGTGTACGGATGCAGTATGGTTAAGTTCAACGTAGCAAGTGTTATTGAATGCCACAATTGCGAAATCTTATGCGTAGTACGTATACATCGATGATATTTTGTATGTAAATAATTCAAAACAAAAATCTTTTTTTCTCCTAACTCCAGGGATAGATTTCAGTGCGCTTCGGTTTACAAATTAGTATTGGCCTGAGGAACAAAATGCACTATCGTTTCATTCTGGGCAGCACTTGGTCCAACTTCCATACATGGATTGGCACTGTCCTTTAAAGAGATAAAGCGCGCCAAAGTTCATAAGAAGAGGCCCGTGACGTCAATGCTTGCATAAAAACTTTAAAAACGCTTGTAATCCGTCAGTGTGGTAAGGCCCTAAGACGTCACATTTTCGCGATCTCAATAAACATGTTGACACCACAGTCAATTGACGTACTTTTTAAAACTGTCAAAACGAAACTCTCCCACAGATTTTGTATAGCACTACAAGCAAGTGACGTCACTATTTTGTCAACCCAATTAAACTATTTTATTCAATTACAATTTGAACAAAAATCGAAATTTGCTGGTAATTTAAAATAAATTAGGTTTTTAAGACCAGAATGAAGAGTCTTTTTAAAATAGTTTTGGTTTCGAATTATTGGGGTATGGTGTCAAACTGTCTATTGAGTACTGTCAACTACCCAATCAGAACGTGTCCCAACTTTAATTTTCCAGGTGATCGACAAGCTCCGCTTCCCGACAAAGCAGGAGGCGCAGCTGAAGAACGAGGTGGCCATCCTGCAGAACCTGTCGCACCCGGGCGTGGTGGACCTGGAGCGCATGTTCGAGACGCCCGAGCGCATCTTCGTGGTCATGGAGAAGCTGCGCGGCGACATGCTCGAGATGATCCTGTCGCACGAGAAGGGACGCCTCACTGAACGGAGCACCAAGTTCATTGTGGCGCAGGTCAGTCGCGTGCTAATATTATTATTGGTCGATATTCGTCTAGATAGTTATTAGGAGCAGGTGATCCTGCATAGGTAATCTAACCAGGATCAGGCCTGGCTCACTCCGCGCAGTACATCCGATAATTACCTACAGCGAAGCGCCCCGCCGGCGGGTATTATATCAGTCGAGTGTCACGCGCGCACCCGTCAGGACGCTGGCGTGCGTTGTAGTATGTACCTAATTCTATGATCGAAGTATTATTTAAAAATGGACATAAAGAGAAATACATATTGTGCGGGGTTCGGGTGTTTAAATTCGAAAAGAAATCTACACCGGATTTATCTTTTTTTTCGCTTCCCAAAGATGCTGAAAGGTATGTTGGTCATGTAGGTAATCAATAATTCTTAGGATAGTATAGGAACCTAACCTACCAAGGTTTTCCATAATGAATGCGTACTTACCTACATACGTACCTCATTACATGTAAGTAGATTAATTAATTTTTCACTAGACAGCAACCCTAACATCGTAAGAAGAGTTCAGAGACACGCGATAGAAAGAGACAAAACTTGTAGGTGAATAAAATTGTAGGTACGTAGTGCTGTGCGAGCTGAATTCCACTGTATCGCGTCGTAGCAAGACTCGCATTTATTTAAATCGTCTTGCGGAGTAATCCTTCTGTACCTGTACTATTACTTATTCTGTGCCAGGATCTACTCCTGTTCCGGTCGTCCAACCAGAGTAAATACAAATGAGTAGGTCATCTTCATAGAAACGCACCGAGCACGGTTTGTATGTGAGCGCGCCAATACGTATGCGGCGCGCACGCACTCACTGACAAAATTTCGCGTGGATTAGCGGGAAGTTGACCACACTGCATTTTTCATACTATTTTTAGACAATCATCACAGGTCTTCGACCTTCTTGGCCGGTTCGGGCGTCGAGCTTGTGCTCATGGCCCGTGCTGCATCTCGACTGGCTACTGCCAGTCGGTGGTTTGACGTCGCTTGGCGACGGACTGCCTGGGCTTCTACCTGGCACCACTGTCCCGCCCTCGGCGCGGTACCAGCCCACCGGGTGAGTCGACGTTGGTCGAGGCCCAGTGAACGACCAGCGAGCGGGCGGTTCCTGGATGCCAGGGAGCTTTCAGGCAGTCACATTATGTTCTGGTGTTGGTTTCCTCCTTAGTGCGGGCGTTGGGCCGTCACTATTTTGAAGCGGGGCTTCGGAGCTGCGACAGCTGGTGCTGTGACTGCTGGTGCTGTGGCGGCTGGTGCGGAGACGGGTCTCGCAGGCGCCGCAGGCTGGGTGGTGTCAGCGTCCTCTGCTTCTGGCAGCAGGAGGTCCCGGGGGAGGGGGCGGTTGCCCGGGGGGCGGGCTGGTGTTGGCGCGATGTTGTGGAGATGGCAGTGGGGGTCATACATGACCCGCGCCAGGCGCGTGATGAATTCCTCCACTGTCTCCACGTTGATGTCCCGGGCGGGTTTTTTAGACAAAGACATGCGAGCGGGCGCCCGCGTGGTTTAGCGAAAGCCCTCAGATTTATTCAACTGGAATTACGTCACATTCACAACCGAGAAATATTGACACATAATACAGTGTCCGTTCCTTTAGTCAGAAAGAACTTCACCCACATATAAATATTATCAAGCAGTATGATTCGACTAAAGTTAAGATTGTTCGAAGATATTATTAGGTGAGGATGATTTTTCATTACATCAGAGATCTTTCCAATCTGGGTTCTTACAGCTATTATCCATTGATCTATAGGAAATGAGGCTTTATTTACTACCTCACTGTTGGTATGGTAGTGCTTATGTTTAAGCTGCAAACTTGATACTTGAGTCGCTCATGAACCGTCCAGTAGGTAAGCATTTAATTTGATATTTTTGGTTGCAGATATTAGTGGCCCTCAAACACCTCCACGAGAAGAACATAGTGCATTGCGACTTGAAGCCGGAGAATGTCCTGCTATCCACAGATGATGAGTTTCCACAAGTGAAGCTGTGTGACTTCGGCTTCGCCAGGATCATCGGCGAGAAGTCTTTCCGGAGATCCGTGGTCGGCACACCCGCTTACCTTGGTAAGTCAAATTTATTTAGCTGTGTCAGTACCAGAACATTACAATCTTCTTTCGTTGACCATTCTAACTGCAAGGCTCCCTCAACATACTTTTATTCAATCCTTACCAAAAATCTCTTCACATGTATTAAACCTGATGGATAGTGATAGAAGCTTTATTTTTCATCATGGAATTTCATTATCACCCTGATTGAAATCAGGTTAAATAGAAAACAAGTTTATAATAGAAAGGCGACTTTCTGGTGCTGTTTCGTCATGGAATTCAGTAACGGGAATTTGCCCTTATGACAAGCAAGTACATAAAATCCCGTGATATTTACCTTGACGTGCTATTGTTGTCAGTCAGACAAAAAATATACAACGTGTCCCAAAATTCACGGATAAGCCAGGAAAGGATTCAGGAAAAAATGTTAATGACATTCTGCGAAACTGACATTGTGTGATATTGACTTTTTGAAAAAGTGACCATATTTTTCGCAATGACATTTTGCGAATGTGACGTTCAGCGTCAAAACTTTGTTAGGTTTTATTTTATTTCACTAATCGTTATTGCAAAAGTATTCCAATATTGCCGTGTTATTACATCGTTTCTTATTTGTGATTCCGTTAATCATAAACATGGTTGGCCCGCAGCGCCAGAGGTGCTCCGCAACAAGGGCTACAACCGGTCGCTGGACATGTGGTCGGTGGGCGTCATCGTGTACGTGTCGCTGTCCGGCACCTTCCCCTTCAACGAGGACGAGGACATCGGCGAGCAGATCCAGAACGCCGCCTTCATGTACCCGCCCACGCCTTGGAAGGAGATCTCGCCCGAAGGTGTGTTCTTGGTTACAGTCTACAGTAATACAGATGGAGCTTTTGAATTGTTATCTTGTACCAAAGTGAATACAAATGAGTAGGTCATCTTCATAGAAACGCCTGAGCGCGGTTTGTATGTGAGCGCGCGCCAATACGTATGTGGCGCGCACGCACACACTGACAAAATTCAGCGCACCTCACTGCTAATCCACGCTAATTTTTTTCTATGAAGATGACCTACTCATTTGTATTCACTCTGCTTGTACGGTCTGAGTACTTTTCAATTTGTACGTGTTTCTAACTTGCTACATCTTTATTTAACCATGTATGCGTGTTTTTTTCTACTCTCTCCTACTAACCCGCATACCTCCCCACATTCGTCTGTCCGTAACAGAATCGATATGACGTCACGGGTACGCTAGCTTGTTCTCAATTTCTCAAGCTTGTCATAAAAGTGTTAATATTAGGGCTCCTGCACATGACGCCGCCACCGCGCCGCCGCTACACTGTTCATACGCACCGAGTAAAGCCCGCCGCCGCGCGAACAGTGTAGCGGCGCGGCGGCGGCGTCGTGTGCAGGAGCGCTTATGCAATGTTTTATCTTCCGCAGCGATCGACCTGATCAACAACCTGCTGCAAGTGAAGCAGCGCAAGCGGCTGTCGGTGGACAAGTCGCAGGCGCACGCGTGGCTGCAGACGCGCCAGGCCTGGCTGGACCTGCGCGCGCTCGAGCGCCGCGTGGGCGCGCGCTACCTCACGCACGCCAGCGACGACGCGCGCTGGGCCGAGCGCTGACCGTACGTATAGTACATATGTAGTAACAAGTCGGAATAGGCACAAAATATAACAGAAGGTAAACTCATGTATGTACCTCGCTTTGCATACCTCTCTCGCTCGCACGCTCGGCCGTCGCGCTAGGGTTGTCTTGTCATGTGTTGCGTTTATTTCGTTATGATAGAAAAATGTAACTCTTAATACTATGCAAGAAAGACAATAACAGATATCCACGTATACTTATTTATATTTAGTACGTTATTATAGTAATAGTTCGCAAACAAATACACGATAAGGAAGTAGTATTTAGTTGAGTGGTTGACACTATTATCCAACTAATATTATAAATGCGAAAGTTTGGATGTCTGGATGTTTGTTGCTCTTTCACGCGATTACTACTGAACGGATTTTGATGTAACTTTACAGTATTATTGTTTATAACCCTGAATAATATATAGGCTATAATTTATGACGATCTGTGACAAACTAAATTTCACGCGGGTGAAGCCACGGGCAAAAGCTAGTTATTTAATAATTCCTAAAACCTCTCTAAACAATTCGATATTCCTAATAATTGAGTTGGCTTTCAATTTCAATTGAAATTCAAATAAATAACTTACTTACCTCCCCGAATCAACTGGTAATTTAAAAAATGAAAATTCGGCATTTAATGATGAGTTTAAGCAACCAAATACCGAACAATTAAAATACGACTTTTTCTGTTCACTCATTTTCGTCAATTGCGCAAAACAAAATAATATCACAGGCGGTTGACCGGCGCGTGACTCAAGCGAACCACAGGGAACGTGTGGCGAACGTCTGTCTGTCGCGCCACGTCGCGCTCGCATTCGTCCAAGACAGTCTTGCTCGAGCGGTGTCTGTCTATGTGTGCGTGGCTCGAGCGCGTTTAGTATGGAGTTTGTCTTCTGTTATATTTTGTGGAATAGGCTTCATTTGGCCAGACCAGACCAGGCCAGGTCTGATAGAGCCACAGAGCATGGAATCGCCCGGGCGGCGCGCGACGCTTCCATGCTCTATGGATAAAGCCGTAGACGACGAATGACAAATAAGACAATATCTCGCGACTGCGTCTGGTTTTGCAACTTCATGCATTATCCCGACTGAAAGAATATAACAGCCACTCAACTCTTCTTCTTCTTCTTCTCCTATGGCTATTGTGTTTCCACGTTTGCCAAAGTCACGTGAGCATAGCCATTACACGGTATATGAAATTATAAACCTTGGGATTGAGTGCTATTATAGGTATAGTCTAACGTGCACACTTAAAACAGACAGACACAACGGCACAGATAAGAACACAGTTAATATAAACATAATAAAATCACAAAAAACAAAAGAGAACAGACAAAAAGTAAGTCGGTAGTAGGAGACTCAACTCACGGCTTTGACTTTGTCTACTGACATAAACGTCACTTGCTAGAACCGTTGTAAACTCTCAAAAGACATCCATTGCTGCCAAAATCCTCCCTCAAGAATTTTCCTGCATCATGCATCTAATTCTTTCTTCTCTCTCTCTCTCTGCTTCCCACAACCTTTACCAATCCACTGAATGGAAGAACTTTTCTGTTCCAACGGCTATCAGCTCTACGAGCTATAAGCCTCGCCCACTCTCACTCAGTTGTTATTCTACGTACATTATCGGTCACTTTAATACATGCAAATTATATGGTGACCCTTATTATTGGAAGTAGGTAGTATGCAAGTAGCATAATAATAACCTAATACATGTCTTTATATTGTTCGGTGCTTAAACCCTATTCAATTGATTGTTTTTTCTAGTATATAAGTTCCCTAACATTGCAAAAAGAAATGCTGTGTATACCTGTAATTGAGGTCATATACGCATCATGTGTTAAACCATGTTAAAATGTATGAACTGTATTATGTATGTGACTTTGTTGGTGTACCTACCTAATAAATAAATAAATAAAAAATGTTTCCCCTCCCCCAGATCGGAGAAGGAGGGCGGGGGCGCGTCGCGGGCGCGGCGCGGGCTGGCGCGCCTGCGCTGGAAGCGGCTGCTGGCGCGCGCGCGGTAGGCCGCGGCCCGCGACCGCGACCGCGCCTGCGCTGTGGCCTGACGGACCCCACACATACACGCCCCGTGTTGAAGCGAAGAAGCGAACGTTTGGAACTGTTTATGAAAGTTAGTGTTATGTCCCTCGGAATATCTCTGAGTGCTTGTTCACGTAGGTACGCGCGGGCGCGGGGGCGGGTGCGGGCGCGGGAAACGTTGCGAACTCGTGTTCACATTAACCACCAGGCGTTCGCGCGAGTGTGACGTACTATCGTTTCTAGCGACAAGTTCAAACTGGTTGAACTTACCTGACGTCGCGAGTGAACCGCGCGCGCCGCCGCTAGTTTGACATGAACACACACAAACATCTTCACGCGTTGAAATTACCGCGAGCGCTCCGCGCGCACCAGTCGCTAGCTTGCCCGCTAGTTAGACCGCACGTGCGTTTCGTACGTGAACACTTGAAATCACTACATATGTTTGATATCTCGTCACCGCGCCCGCGAGTCAACGTGAACAAGCACATACACGCCCCGTGTTGAAGCGAGGAAGCGAACGTTTGTAACTGTACATGAAAGTTAGAGTTACGTGCCTCGGAATATCTCTGAAGCTGCGAGAGCGTTTTTGAAAGTGCGCGTTAATACGAGATATTTACAGACGTGGGAGGAAATGCCTAGTGTGTGGGTACCGTCAGCTACAGACCACGAATGAGTCGCCTTGTTGGACTTTTTATTAACACAACGTCGTGTGATACTATAGTGGAATATGCGATTTATAAAGGGAAGGGGCTTGTAAATTTCCAACATTTTACGGTAATGTTGCCAGCTTTCAATTTGCGGCAACATTTTTATGGCAATAATGACCTTAATAACCTTATTTACGCAGTTATCCTGATTTTGCAGTAATTTACAAAATGACATCAATAAATTATGATACAGATGTCACGATAGTTGCAACGCAACGTATTGCTGTAATAAATGTTCATCATTTACAAGCCCATTTTCTAAGACATGGCTGGGACTAGACGCCAACCGCCGCCGGGCCCAAGCCGTCGGCGTTACTGGACTATACGCATATCTTCAAAGCTACGCTTTCAAGGTATTTCTTCATGGCATGACAATGAAGTTACCGAGACAAGTGATTTACAAGCTTGTCTCAAAATCCTTTAATGTGTGAAGTAAAGGCAAATCATCTACACTCGGCATCAAATAAATCGCACCTCCCGCGACAAGCACTTATCAAACGTATGCATCCCCACTTCCCACTAAAGTTGGTACCATTTGAAAGCCTAGTTCTAAACTTCATTTCATTAAAGGAAAGGTTTTTACCCCAAAAATGTGTCATTACAAGGATCCAGAGTCACTTCTTCAAAAAATAGGTAGTTACGCTATAGCCATTTTTTATGACTATAAAACTGTTAAGTTGGGATTAATCGCTATCCATCTGTTAAAGAGGACACGTGAGATCTTTATTTGGTTTTATAACCATAAAAATTGGTCTAATTGATCCCATAGGTGAGCCCAAAGTGAGGTCTATTTTCAAGTCACATTTATGGTATATGTTAATCATTTATTTAGAAATGAAATGTATTTTTCTTTAAGGATATTTATTGGGCTTTCAAATAACACCAATATTGTTGGGGTACCATGATTGTGTCAGAAGAAAATCTTTAAAGTTCGCGTCGCGGAAGGTGCGGTTTATTTGATGTTGAGTGTATTTCAATGCTAGAATTGCCTGACTAAGTACAAACGAAGAATACAGGCATTTCATTGTTTTATAATACTTAGCAATCTTTGAAATTTTAATATAAAAATATTTTATGAGCCTCCATGTTTTCTTACATTTCATTATGGTTGCCTAATCGAGTAAACTGCATTCCTACTTTAGTAGCTATTTTTTACATTTTTAGAGTATTTTACATTATTTTTATAAGATATTAATTTATTTTTAGTACGGGATTTTAAAACTAGTTTTAATATTTTTATTTTGTTGTGAACAAAACTTATACTAACATGTGCGTGTATGTGTTGTTGACTTGTGGATGTGTACTTGTTGTGTTGCCTAGTTAACTGAGATAACTTCTGTCATAATAACTTTAGTTTAAGTGTGTCTACTCATTCTATGTAAGTCTTCTTCTAGTCTCTAAGACTATCCTATTCTAACGTTTAATTCTTGAATATCGTTTGTGACTTCGTCTTCGAATAATAAGTACTGTTAGCCGGCAGACTACACATGAGAGATTAAATGTAACATATTCGTGCTAGTTTTATGGTATATGGTCGAGACGGGGGTGTCTCGTAGTTTTAACGGCCTAAATAGATATAATATTATATGGATGTTGTATGGTTAGTCTTTATATAGACTATCCGTTGTTTGTAAGCCCGACAGATTACTGAAATACGAGGATTCCATTTTATTGTAGCCAATTAGTATATTTTATGAAGCTTTATACGTTTGAAATGATATTTTATTATACATCGCCGCGATGCCAACTTGTATCTTCCATAGAATGATGTTTAAGCTGTGCCAACTTTACAGAGCGATATTTTTTATTTTACTGTTACATATTGATGGAAGATTTAATGAATATTTATTCAAATTACATGAGTGTAACGGGACCTAAAGTAAGGATGTATACGTCAACCTGTTGGGTAGTTAGGACTTGCGCTTGATTTTAATGTCTGAGAACAGCCTAATAAAGAGACGAAAAATATTAATAAAATGTTCATAGATGTATTCAGCTCTGTTGTACGGTAGGTACTTAAGGTTGAACAAACATGCCTCAGTCTTCATAGTATAAATTATTTTAATCATATTAGCAGCTATTTATGTATTCATGGAATACAATTACTTTTAGAAACTAATAATTATTTACATCTTACAATCGTATATTTTTTTATTTTTACTTTTAAAATCTTAACCAATCCGCCATTCCACGTTGTTTAACTATAACTGTGATTATTTTATATCTTTTATCATTTACAATGCAATACAAGCTTCCATTTTCTGTGATCTCTAAACTAATGCAACTATATTAATATATTTAGCATTTTTAATGAGCAACTTACATGTTATATACAGGATGTAAGGGATAAATAGTATAAAAAACAAAGTCTCAAACCAGTGTCACATGACACACTCATGGCTAATATATTTACACTGGATTTTAACAATCATTATTCACTGTAAGTTTTGCCAACCTGTCCCATACACCCTGTATGTTTTTCATTAAGCAATATACTTTTTTTTATATAAGTTTTATTTAACGCTGTTATACATTTCTTGCGATAGATGTAATTTACTCGTATCATTAAAATACAATTTTACATTCGACCTGTCAATAAACAATGCATATTCATATTGGTGATGATTTGACAACAAATAATGCGGTTCAGTTTCTTGCAGCTTTGTTTTTGACATTTATACTACTCTCTGCGAAGACACTGGACAATCATGCCTAAGTAGGCATCTTATTTTCTGTTTTTATGCTTACAGATATAAGACATTGGTCACTATTTGACATCATAATATTTCGCTTGACAAAACAAGCTTAGATTTAATATGGATATGTTGCTAATGAAGTGTCTTCATTATTGTAAATCGCTTTTGATATTGTTACACATGTTATCGTGATATCTTGGACACTTGTGTACTTGTTGTTACTTTCATGACAATTCTTTTGTTCCGTACAATTAGCAGAACTTCTATTTTTTTAAATTTATTGAAATGTGCCTAAACTGTACCAACCCAAAAGATATTATTTTACTCTCTCTTTTTATTTATTTTAATTTAAGATATTATTTTTGACACAAATATCATTACTACTGCTAAACTGATAAAAGCAAATGCTACAATATATTGGTCACAAAAAATCATATTTTTATAATGCAACAATAGCTTTAATTTCTTTCATTTTTACATAAAGAGGGCAATAAGCAGATGATTCGCGTTGTAGTATTATTACTTTATTTCTTTTTTTTTTATTTATATTTTATCTTTTCTGTTATATTGTACAATAAATGTTATATCATGCTTTCTATTAATGAGTGGCCTAAAATATTTTAATTTTTGCGATAAAGAAGCCAGAATGTATCTCCAATAATAATCAAAAATGTTATAATGCTAACTTGGCGCATAAAATTATTTTATAGATAAAATATTTTAGCGCACAATATATTTGGACCAAACTGGGAGATTCGTCATAATAAAATATTTTATAGATAATGTTGACATATTTGGTGGAAAAGTAATTCTAACGTGTACGTAATAAGTGTCAAAATTTAATAAAATTTTAATCATACCAAGATATTAACAACATAGATGTTAGACATAAGGCTAAATAAAGTACATCATTATAATATTTATATGAAATCATTTAAACATAAACATCATAATAAAATGATTGTTGACATGTAAGCTTGAGCTTTGCGTTGTGTTGTGTATCATTTTAATAATTTACATATGGGTGTTCGTATAGCAAGAAGTGATGGAATCTATTTTTGAGAAAATGACAATATTATTTGACTACTAGTCGATAACGTTCAACTTAATAAACTGTTCACAAACAATCTATAGTATTGTACTAAATAACTTGATGTCATAATAGTGTAAACAACACACGACATAACGCACTGCTCCACCTGTTGATGTTACGGGGTTGGCGAAATCCATTTACAATTGTGTTACTATTCATTATTTAAATAAATGCCGTTTTGGACTTATAAAATGACTTTTTTTTTTTCAATCTTATCGAGCTCATTTTCTCCTATCTTTCTCCTATCAATCTGCCTGAAAATGAAACAAAACGCAATAAAACAGTCTACTTTAGTATTTAACGGCATTAATTTAAAATTAAACGCTATTTTTCCCCATTATTGTGAACAACGAAAATTCAAATATCCTACAATAATTCGAAAATTATTGGCATAAGTATAATATACCCAGTATGTTTTTTTTTCTAATGTGTGAAGTAAACTGTCGAGTTGTATTAGTTGCATTGCAACTCTATTAAAGTTGTCTCATCTTCGGGTCACGCAGGCAGTTTGCCGGCGCATGGAGCGGAAAATAGGCGCCCGCGCATGTGACGGTTGTAGAACAACGCACATTGCGATGAGATGGCTAAATAAATTCTGGTTTATAAATAAAAGTAAGACAAGTTTCAGACGATATAGTAATATTAAAAATAGCCCTCTATGAAATTATCCCATCATGCGTCAAAAACTCCATTCCATTTATGGCAAACTACCTTAACACGTCACCTACTCAAACGATTTCATTTCCACAGTCAGATAAAAAGGTTGCGCGCCTCTTCGCCTAACAGTCGAGTATCATCTGAAGCGCGACGTGTCACAAGACAGCTCACTCGATCCCGCTGCCTCAGACTGACAATCATGTTCATAACTTTGCTGCTCGTCGCGCCTGCCCTTTGCGAGTGGGTGGAGATATCCCAGCACCACGTGAGAAAACCAACGCGACCTCACCACTTCAGACCTGTCGAAACAGCGACGGAGTCCTTCGAGAAAACCACGAAAGAAACCAAGATCTACCCCAACCAATCCTTAACTGAACATCCGTGGTCCAGAGGCAATGTCAACAAAGTGCCAAAGATAGGCAGCGTGCAGCGCGTGCAGTTGGACAGTAGTCCCATAAAAGCACCAAGCTTGACAGTGAATCCAGTGAAAAACACTTTGAATGAAGAAAATATCAAGCCTGCAAATAAGAATTATGCTAGTGAAAGTGTGTCACATACCGACTTGATGGAAATTCAGCAACATAAAATAAATAGTGTCCCTGAAAGTGAACGCCATAACCCTTCATACAAACACAGTGTATCTAACATTGAAAAACTAAACTTTCAAAATTCTAAACAAATATTTCAAGAAAACAAAAATAAGGACGAAAGAACTAGCACAATTTTGAATAATAGGAAAAAAGGACCTTCACACGAACTGGATCGGGTTAGTTTCAGTAAACCTGTGTCTAAAAATCAAAATACTGATGATATTCAAGATGATTTTAAGTTTCCTGTCGTAAAACGTAACAATAATGTCACTTTACGACCACACTTAACAGATTTCAGTTCTAACAAAGGTAACCGGAACTCTCTTTTCACATCTGAGACAGGCGAACATAAGGAGCATGATGAAATATCTGACACAAGACGAAATGATATTCATAAGTTCAAACTTTCAAATTCCGGCATACAGTCTGAAAAAGGTACCACCGAAAATGTGTCGCAAAGAAATAAACTTGCACAGAATTCAAACGCCAACACAAGAGTAAAATTCCCGGGAACAGATGATAATTTAGATCGCCACGGTAGTTTTATCAAAACTAAACTACCAAACTCTGAATATGTAAATGAAAAACTTGAAGATGATGATAATGATGCTACAGTTGCCGATGAAAGTGAAGATCCTAATTCTTCCGGAACAGAAGATTTTAATTCTGATGAAAGTAATTCCGGACCAGAAACTGAAGCATCAAATAACAGTAAAGCAAATTCACTACAAAATCTAATGACTTTCATGAAAGTTGTTGCTGACACTATAAGAAAGAATACAAGACGAAGTGTCAGTAGTAAGACAAGGTACTTGACCAATTTGAAGAACACAATCCTAGCAAACATTGGTGAGTGGGGAACCTTTAATAAATTATTTCATCGACTCTCAAGGATTTACTTGCATCAAGCTGTTAAGGCATTTGCTCAGGTTTCCTCCAAGCAAGTTCGAATTGTATTATCGCAACTTCTTACTCACCTAAGATTTTATTCCTTTTATGTGAAACAGGTAACATAATACTCCTAATTTTGGTATTTGGTTAAATTACAGCGGAACGGATAGACACAGCATGGCCTGACGACGAATCAGTCCACTCGCGGCAGAGACGAGCCGCGGCGAGCCCTCGCGGCCACGTCGAGATACCCTCCTCGGAGAGCGCGCTCATGACTATCTCCTTCCTCACGTTCGCTGTGTTTCTTATCAAGCTAGTGCTGGTAAGTTGACTAGCCTAATAGTATGGCATAAAGAGCCTAATGCGAATTTAAGTAAGTAGTTGTTGATGATGATGATGAGCTCTTCAATCAATAAGTGTGTATACCTAGTCACACGTGCGCTTATAGAACACGTGCGCCATGTTAGTTTAAGAAATAAGAAGGTAGATACTATACTACCTATACCTGTCGTTAATACGAAAGCAAATAAATAAGAAATAAAATATTACCTTACATTTTTGTTGCAGCAAGTCATCCAGACGTACAAGAACAAGGCGATGATGGTGTCTCCGGCGGTAGTGGCGGTAGGACGAGCCGTAGCAAAACGCATCGCGAAACCCTGAAATACATTAATCGTTAGTCTTATCGAATAAATAATGACAAAATAAAACTGATTTTCTGATAAACTTACATGTTTTTCTGCCTTCTATCTATGCTTAAAAGTTCGTTATTGTTTTTTGCTAGACGGAGGGTGCGTGTGATTGCCGCTTGCCTTTTGTTTTCATTTTTTTCGCGCCATTGAGCAGAGAGCAGCTGCCAGCAGCTGCATAATACGTTCCGTGTCACATAGTGGTTTTTTTTTTAATTACTAATTTTCAAATTCACATTAAAATTTTAAACAAGATCATATTTGGACAATAAAAATTAAACTTTGTATTTGTTTTATAACAATGAGTTTATTGTTTATTTGATTTATATGTAATAATAGTCCCATGCATTGTCGAAAGAAATAATATGTTAGTGAATATTTGATTTACAGAAAATGGAACGTAAATGTCACAATCTACCTGCAGTGCGTAGTGTGTGTACGTGAGAAAAATTAAAGAAAAATGTTAATAGGTCCAAAAATAGAGATAAATAGAAATGAACAACGAAACTGAACAAATATTTCTGCTTACCCCGACTGAAACCCAGTCTTCTACAGCAGCTCAGAAGTTAGAGCAGGCCTCAGTTCCACCGCAAGGTAACAAATTCTAACGACTTCCATTTGTTTTGATTAGCATTATTTTTTGGTTATTACCACCATACAATATGATACAATACAAACATATTAGTTTACCTATATTGCCTCATGAAATATTAGCACTGTATCTATTTGTTTACCTTTTTATCTAAGACCTTTTTATCATCAGTACTTTACCTCTGAGGACAACAGAGAAATGGGCTTATTTGCATACTAATTTTTATTTATTAGCTAGCTAGTGAAAAACTTTGATAAAGGTATGCATGCATGCTAAAATAACTTGGTCCAGTGCCTAAATAGTTAATTTAATAGGTTAAGAGTTAGGGTTTTTTAAATATAAATCTAATTACTTGCAGATGTGGAAGACTTCTCCACAGTTTGCCGCACCTGTGCCACAGTCACGGAGTTCGTTATCCCCATATTCGCCGGGGAGGGCGTCCAGAACAATTTGGCTGATAAAATACACAAGCATTTGCCTATTCAGGTAGGATTTTTTCTCTTTATTTATAAGCCAGATATTATAGAAAAAATATGTAAAATGTATAATAGGAAATCTTGAATACTTACCTACTTCAAGATAAGTGGACATGAATAGGCTCTTAAAGTGCAGATAGTACCATCCCAGTCTGCATCTCACTTAACATCAGGTGTGATTGCAGTCAATCACCTGCCTTGTTTTGCATAAAAATAAAATAATATTAGTACTGCATAATACCCTAGCTAGGTTTCTAATCTAGTTTGATTAACCAGATACTAGGTTTTTACGTAATTGTTACTAGGCTGACCTATTGAATGATAATGATGTTAAAAATCTACATTATAGCTCATAAAATTTTATTTATAACATTGTACAGGTATCGGAGACGGATGTCCTCCCGCGAGTGGTGTGCTACCAATGTGCCAACACTCTCTTGGCGTGGCACGAGCTAGTGCAGTGCTGCGTACAGGCCGATGAGGCCCTTCGCACGCGGTTGGCAGTCGCCGCTGCCAAAGCAGACAGCATTAGGCCTGTTGAAACTATTACGGTAACTATTTATTAATTTATTCATGTACCAAAAATGCAACTATTGGCAAATTCAATGCTGAAGAAAATGCCTCTTCCAGTATCCTTTGGGCCTGCAAAAACCCACTTCTAGAGATGCTCCCCTCCTTACATGATTCAGCTTTGTCTGAAGAAATAAATTATTGACCCCTAGATTTTTAATTTTTAGTGTGTTATCTATTGGCAGCGTGGAAAAGTTTTTTTTATTGTTTCAGGAATCCAAATCTAGCCTTAAAGATATTGAAGAAAGTTCAGAACAAGAACAAAACAAGTAGGTATCAATTGTATCATTTGTGTCTAGTTGTTTTAAGTTATAATAAATTACACTAAAAATACTATCTGATGGAATAACTGATGGAAATGTATTAGATATTAATGTAATAGTATAACATTTTCTAATTATTTATTTTTTTACTCCTGACTGATGTAATATTGTAATCTTTAAAAATCTCCAAAATTGTTTATGTGTAAAATTACAGGTCATCATCAAATTTTTGTACCATATTAAAAGATGTATTACTCAGTCACTACTCAATAATTACTGAAGATAACCTGGACACCCAGATTGTTTGCCTAAAATGCACAAACTGCCCATCCTCAAGCAATATAGAGCAGCTGGCGTATCATCTCGAATCTACCCACCAGTCTGAAATATCCAACTATGCAAACGTTAAAAAGTTTATTGCTAACTACATAACACTTGAAGAAACATTGATATGTGAAAATTCTGACAGAGATGTAGAATCCGATTCTAATGATAAATGTGAAGTCTTACCAAATCTCTATTGTCCATTCTGTCAAAGCATATTTTCCACCATGGCGCGACTGTTGAACCATCTGAACACGCACATCGAGTTGACGATAGAAGACGGGGTGATCTGCTGTGACAACTTTTACGAGTCCAAGAAAACGTTCGTGAAACATCTGCAAGACTGCCACGTGACGCGGACCGTCGACGAAACCAAACACACCTGCCGAACCTGCGGCTTCCAAACCGAAACGATACAAGCTCTTCAAGACCACATCTCACAAGCTCATTACGAAGAGAGAGAAAAGCCGAAGAAACCTGAAAGAGCGAGTGAGAAAAAAGATCGAAACCAGAAGTTCATCCCGGCCGTGTGCTCGGAGTGCAACAAAGTGTTCTCCAACAAGTACAACATGTTCAACCACATGCGCAGCCACGGCGACGTCACCGTCAAGTACGCCTGCGGCCAGTGCCACAAGATCTACAGCAGCCCGAGCAACTTGAACAACCACAGAAAAGTAGCTCATGCGGGCATTTTAAACTTTGTTTGCACGACTTGCGGGGAGGCCTTCCACTCCCGCGTGGCCCGAGACGTGCACTCGCGCATCCACACCGGGGAGAAGCCCTACCCGTGCGATCGATGCTCCAAGTCCTTCCGATCGAAGAACTCCCTCGACCGACACATAGAAATGCATTTAGACATAAGAAAATATGAGTGCCACCTCTGTCCCAAGAAGTTCAGAAAGAGGACGCACCTCAACTACCACGTAGGCACGCACAAGAAGCACGCGAAGTAACCGGGTTATTTGTTGCAGGTGGCACTCCCGGATTAAGGTCGAAACGGGACGTAACGAGCGCGACGGGTCGTACGATGACCCCCGGAGCGATAGCCCCGGCGACGGGAGCGACAGATCCGACAACGAGGACGACGAACCCCTGTCCAGTATAGCCAGCAAAAAAGCGGCAGACGTCTACAAGAACTTTTACGACGCGCTCGTAGATTTCAGGAACCACTTCGTCGGCGTTCACTCGTCGCACAGAACGAAACACCCCGAACTCGCGGCGTCGAGCGATTCCGAGATCGCGAGCGACGACGAAAATAAAACCGACGACCGCAACGTAGACAACTACGACGACCTCACCGACTGCAACATGAGGAAGGACAGAATGGACGAGAAGACGCGGCTGGAGCTCAGCCGGGTGCGCACCAGGATCGACGGGAAGGCGTACTACACGTGCCAGCTGTGCGGCAAGAACCTGAGCTCGTCGCACACGTACGTGTTCCACCAGCGCATCCACACGGGCGAGCGGCCCTGCGTGTGCCACGTGTGCGGCAAGCAGTTCCGCGCGCCCGGCGGGCTCGCGCGCCACCTCACCGAGACGCACGAGCGCGCGCGCCGCCTCGCCTGCGCGCTGTGCCGCCGCAGCTTCGCCAACTCGCAGAACCTCAAGCAGCACCTGCGCGTCCACACCGGCGAGCGGCCCTACGCCTGCGCCGCCTGCGGCGAGCGGTTCGCGCAGAGCGGCTCGCTGCACGCGCACCGCAAGACGCACCTGCCGCACTTCCCGCACCGCTGCGCCGACTGCGGCGCCGAGTTCCGCCTGCGCGCCGGCCTGCGCCGCCACGCGCTGCGCCACGCCGGCGCCCGCCCGCACGCCTGCGCCCGCTGCCCGCGCGCCTTCCGCGAGCGACACGAGCTCGCCGCGCACACCGCCGCTCACGCCGGCGCGCGCCCGCACGCCTGCCCCTGCGGCGCCGCCTTCCGCACGCGCCGCGCGCTCCGCCTGCACGCGCGCCGCCTGCACCCGCCCGCCGAGCCGCCGCGCGACCTCGCCCCGCCGCCGGTCTACGCCCACGTGGCGAATTATTAGCGTTCCCTAGACGATTGTCGACGTTGTGATTCAATATACGTTTCGATCGACGTTCGCTTTTCACTTCACGCTCTCGAGCGTGCTCCCGAGCGGTCCCTCACGCGGATTTCCCTTTCCAGACGGGCCGAGGGCTCGCCGGCCCCGCCGACCGGCCCGAGACCCGAAACGGGCCCGGAATCGGAAAAGACCGGAGACGCGCCGGAGGAGGACGTCGACGAGCCCGCGGAGGTGTTCGTCGGCGAGGACGGCAAACGCTACGCGACGTGTCGCGCGTGCAAGAGGAGCGTGACGGCGGGCTCGTGGCGGCGGCACGCGCGCGCGCACCGCGGCGAGCGGCGCCACAGCTGCGCGACGTGCGGGCGCGCCTTCGCCGACGCCGGCAACCTGGCCCGCCACGCGCGCCTGCACGCCGCGCGCCGCCCGCACGCCTGCGCCACCTGCCCGGCCGCCTTCACGCGCCGCGCGCACCTCGACGACCACGCGCGCTCGCACGCGGCGGCGCGCGACTTCGTGTGCGACGCGTGCGGCGCCGCGTGCAAGTCCGGCGCCGCGCTGCGCATGCACGCGCGCTCGCACGCCGCGCGCCGCCACGCCTGCGCGCGCTGCCCCGCCGCCTTCAAGCGCCGCGCCGAGCTGCGCGCGCACGCCAGCGTGCACACCGGCGAGCGCCCGCACGCCTGCGCCTGCGGCCGCGCCTTCCGCCTGCGCGCCCAGCTCGCCCGCCACGCGCGCTCCCACGCGCCCTGACCCGCCGCTCTGTTGCAGGTTCACTGAGATCGCCGACTTCGTGGTGCGCGGCCTGGAGCCGCCGCAGTACCCGGCGGGCTGCGCCTACTGCCGCGCGCGCCTGGCGGGGCCCGCGCTCAAGGACCACCTGCTCACGGCGCACGCCGACAACCTGTTCCACTGCGACGAGTGCGACACCTTCGTCGACCGCAAGGACTTCATCCTGCACATGTCGCTGCACGCCGTCGAGTACGCCGCCAGGCACGAAAAGAAGCCGAAGCCGGTCCGGAGGGTGAGGAGGGTCAAAAGGAGGAAACCGGAGGCGAAGGACGAGAACGCGAACGACGAGAGGGGCGGGAGAAAAGGCGGCACCGGAGTCGGCGACGTGCGGCGGACCCCGGACAGCGAGAGCGATCCCCAGGACAACGAGTTCTCCGACCACAGCGACGCCGAGTACGGGTTCGGTCCGCTCCCCGAGTCGGTTTTCGAGGCGATCGAGGACTCGCAGGACGGCCAGCCGACGATCGACGCCGAGGTCGACTCCTCCGGGATCGGGGACGTCGAGGCGCCCGGGGCGCCGATCGGAACGGCCGAGAGCGTCGTCGTCGTCGGTCCGAGCGAAACGCCCGTCGACAAGATCGATCCGCCCGCCGAGTCGAGCGGCCCGCCCGCCGGAAACGACGAGAATCCACCGGCGGCGCCGGCGCCGCCGCCGAGCGCGAGCGTCAAGAGCCACAAGAAGCCGCGCACGTGCCCGACCTGCGGCAAGGTGTACACCGCGTCGTCCAGCTACTTCTACCACATGAAGCACGCGCACCGCGGCGCGCGCGAGCACGAGTGCGACGTGTGCGGCAAGCGCTTCGGCACGCGCGCCGGGCTCGCGCAGCACGCCGCCGTGCACTCGGCCGAGCGCCGCTTCGAGTGTCAGCAGTGCGCCAAGCGGTTCCGCTCGCGCGCCGCGCTGTACATCCACGCGCAGGCGCACTCGGGCGTGCGGCGCTGGGCGTGCGCGCAGTGCGGCCGCGCCTTCCGCTGGCGCGCGCACCTGGCCCGGCACGCGGCGCGCCACCGGCCGGCGCGCGCGCACGCGTGCTCGGCGTGCGGCCGCGCCTTCAGCGTGCGCGCCGACCTGCTGCGCCACGCGCGCACGCACACGCGCGCCGCGCACGCCTGCGCCGCGTGCCCGCTGAAGTTCGCGCAGCTGCGCTACCTCAAGGTGCACGTGGAGCGCAAGCACGCCGGCCTGCCGCCGGGCCCGACCCCGACCCCGCCGGTTCCGAGCTGCCCCGTTGTCCAAAATGAGTAGATGATGAATACCCGATCCGACTCGGCGATACGTGAACGATTTACGTGCGTTGGCGACACGTTACAGAACACGTTGCGCTCGATCTCGAGTGGAAAATAAATTCACTTTTTCAATATGTATATTTTTCAACTGAGTAAGACCCCTCTTTGTGTGCCAAAAACGTGGTGACTTTATTTTCCGCACGAGATCAAAAAGATCGAACTCGTTTGGTATGTTAAAAGTAGTTATTTATTTAAATTATTGCACTTTCTTCTGTACTATAGGGATCGTCTGAGGTCAGCTTGCTGTTACTAGTTTGAAAATTCTTCTAGCCAAATAAATTTTTATATTTGAAAGCAACCAAATAAAAAGCCTAACAAAAGCCGGACAGGCCGGACAAACCGTAAAAAGCCAAACATATCCGGCTAAAGCCGGACACCTGGCAACCCAAGTGTGACCCCATCTTATTGTAGGTAAAAGTACGCTCACCAAGACTGAATCAGTGCTTGTAGGTTATCTGTTATTATTCGGTAGGATATAGTATTTTTCTAACAACGCCAACGCTCAAATCTTATGAATAAAATTCAAGATTGTATTTATAAATGCTTTTAATAAATCTTAGATCTTTATAACAGAGATAATTGGATAGATTTCTGATGTACATTTCATGTGCCTTAGCACCGCGGCTGTACAATAACGCCTTCTCTACACAATGATTAATTCATTCAAATATTAACAATGTTATATCTACAAGTTAAATAATTTAATAATGACTTGTTTGTTGCTAAATAATGCTAAGAAAACTCTGAAGATGCTACTGAAATATACATAATTCTAACATAAACTAACAAAGGCCACAATATATCTTTGCATTTATTTTTAGCAACAAATCAAAAAGTCTGGTGATATTTGTATGAAATGGCCGTCGAAGCGCGGGCCTCCGCAGTCTCATACAAATAAGCACACCACGTGGCGGCGATATAATATATGTATTCCTAAAATACATACATACAAAACTTTAATGTTAAACATATTAAGTAGGTATGTCAATATAAAATCTATTTTTACATTTTATAAATAAACAACCAATGGTTATGATGGATGATCATTTGGATTTCACTTTAATTTTAAATCATCTTTGATAACATTAAAATGGTGAATTCATTATGATTATATATTCTACTAAATAAATGGATTGGAAATCATCAAAAGCTATAAGCCGAAATGATAAGTGAGATCATGAACTATACGTCTTGAAATAATATTGTAAATTTTCTTAAAATAAAACTTACTTTGTACACTAAAATTACATGTCATATTAGGTATGTATTGATTTTTATACATTTAACTATTTTTAGTTTAATAATGGGCATAATATAATTTCCAGTACCTTTGTGGTTGTGAACATGATATGGTTGATTTATTAAACCTGGAAAAAGATATCGTATTTTGTCTTAGTAATTAATAACTGACTCTTTCTATTCTTACATAGAGATACATTATATGGTTCAGAACTTCAGACTCAGTGTGTCGCTTGCTGAAGTTTCACATTCGGACAAATTACTTACTAGATCTGAATATCACTTAGAGGATGTAGATTAATGAGCGCAGTATAGCAGGCCTGTCCTGTAGCAGAGGCCTAGGGCTCGGGCTCGGGCAGCGGCGGCGTGGAGCGGCCGTCGGGCGCGCCCGGCGACTCGCTCTCGTTGACGAGCCGCTGCCGCTCGCGGTACATCGACTCCTGCTACGAAACAGGCGATTGTAAAACATTCAGAGCCCCGATTACGGTATTTTTTAACGTCTCCAATCCAAACGCTAAACACGCTTCTCGATTCTGCGATACGATTGGTCAAAACAGCTGACGTACGCTGTTGAACGACCAATCGTATAGCAGAATCGAGAAGCGTGTCCGGATTGGAGACGTTAAATATGACCGTAATCGGGGCTCCTCTCAAAAACATTCTGCCCATATAGTCGAGTCTGAGAGCCCATATAGACTGGACTATGTGGGCTCTTAGAGCGGTTTCGCAGTAGCTCCGATTCGAATTTGTCACAACACGGGTTTAGAAAATTACTTGGGAATCTGACATCGGTTCTAGCGTAACTACCATGCAAATAGTTCTACGATTACACCGGACCATTTATCTCGGATTTAGATCGGATGTAGTGCGAAACCGCTCTCACATAACACGATACGCGCAGCGTCATGCTATGACGTAAGATAAGCAATGTTGTAACGTGACAACTACAAATAGGGCTCCCAACTTTTAATCAAAGCAGAATAATAAAAGAATGTTATTCTTTGATTTATGGATAATGTAAAGACTCAGATGCATACCTGTATGTTCTGGAGCTGGTGGTAGCGGCACACCTTGAGCGTGGAGAACACCGCCAGCCCCACCGACGTCGCGAATGCTCCCCACGCACCGAACTAGAAGCAGACAAATCATTTTAGAATGAAAATTACATAGTATTATGATGAAAATCATTTTGAAAATCTTTTGTATAGAGAATTACTCTGAAGATATCTTTCAGACATGTTGTAAGAGTATCTATGATTAACTTTAAATTAAATTGGATTAGCTATATTAAACTTTTACCCAAGTGGGGCCACAAACAAGAGATATAGATTAATTGAATCAAACTGTAAAAATGTGGAATACAAAGCTATAATAAATAAATAAATAAATAGCTATATTAAAACAAAGCATACTAATTATCAGTTAGGCTAATTATTATGATAAAGGAAAATAATGACCGTTAACCATTATCATCTATAAATGGTAATAAACAAAATAAGGAAACTGTAATTATTATAGAGGAGGAAACTCACTTGTATGGTGCCCATTTCCATGTAGAACCAATTAGTTTTTATTTTATCTTTTTTGTCGATATCCTGTCCAGCTGCATCTTCACAACTGAAATAATAATATTTTTAATTAGTTAATTTCCTTCATACCACTTGTGATATTGCTATACATCATCAATATACAGGAATTGATGTTTTTATTATTTACTATTAAATTAACATGCTTTAGCATCTACTAAGGATAAATCATAATTGCTAATTCTGGCGGTAACTATCTATTATATTGCCAATACCTGGGGAACCGTTCCACTATAATCTGGCACCAGTTCATGAAGCCGAGCGTGATGAGCACAGCTGCAGCCACCACCAGGAGGCAGAGCAGCACGCAGGCGACTGCCTCCACGAATGCAGACAGGAACGAGCTGTCCGACCCTTTGTACATTAACACCGACAACCTACAACAGAACATGCAAGTTACTAAACCAGTTTTTATCAGGAGAACAGATAATAATGAGAAAGTGGGACTTCAGTTATGTGACAGAAAAGTAATTGTATGAGGTATTTGTTTCTCATAAGTTTCTGCTCTTAGGTATAACTTGGGAACATTTAGGACTTGAGTCAATGGTTAATTGTGAGAGCTTATCATCACTTCCATTTACCTAATTAAGATCTGTTTCAAACAAAAAACTAGGTGGTCATACCTGTATATCTGAATGCAGCAGATGATGAACATGATGACGCCCACGACGATGACGTAATCGCAGTAGCCGCGCGCCGCCCACTCCACTAGCAGCTGGCCGTCCAACTCCTGCCACTCGCCCTTGGAGAACAGCAGGCAGTGGCCGCTGGAACCAAAGCACGCACTTTACATCTGAAATATACTGACATTTTATGAATCAGAGATCTCTTATCATAGATAAAGGTATACAGAATTTAACATTGATTTGTTTGAGTTAATATGAACCAAAATTTAGCACACTGAAAGAATGGAGAAATAGTCTAGTCACAAGACAAAAAAGATGATTTGTGTAGGAGTCTGCAAAACTTTAATTAAGATTAAACGGTTATTGAAAGCTTACTTGAACTCATCCTGGTGCATGCTCATAGGCACAATAATACAGAGGGAGAATATAAAGCCTATAACGTAGCCAGCGATCTGGCTCGCCAGAAGCACGTTAGTCAACGCCATGGCTGTCGAACGAAATGGATGGAATTAACGGGTAAACCACAACTTATGGTGAATTAATTAGGGCATATTAATGAAATACGCAAATAATTCACGAAACAGGGAAACAATAGCGACCAATTGCCCAGAGAAATAAATCGCAAATAAATACAACTACATGTCAATGTCAAAATTGACAAATAGTTGACCATGACTGTCAAAATCATTGGAAACCACTAATTTAACGATTAGTTGCTTTCACCCCATCGTACGTACCGAGAATACAATTTCCTTTAAAACATTTAATTGAAATAACGAACGAAACGCAAAATGTCATGACAAATATGTCATTTTTCGTAATGTCAGCTTGTGTCAAAAAGGAAGTTGGTGATGTGTTTCAAGCAGCGAAATACGAAATAAATTGGGTTAATTAATCGTAATATTATGTCTTCACGTTCTGAATAAGTGTTAAATACCAGACAAGATGAATTTCAATGCTTCCAGAAACGGTAAGGTGATTTATAGTGTAAAAATGTGTTAGGGGTTTGTGCTGTGATGATGACCAAAGTTTTGTTTTAGTTGGGCAATCAGGAGGTGGCGGAGGAGGTATCAGGAAGGCGAAGCGGGTGAGCGATGTGGCGGCGATGGGGGCTCCGTCGCCCACGCCGGCCTTCAGCCCTGCGCCGGGCTTCAACGCGGGGTACCCACCAGCCGGCCCACCGCCTCCGTATCAGGAAGGAATCCAGTTGGAAACCACTCAGGACTTTGTGGCACCTTCTCCCCCTCCCAGTAAGTTGGCCAGTCATACTACTTTGAATTAATACAATGAAACTGTGATTGAATTAAACTTCAACCTATAAATTGACTGAAACAGATGTTATTCATGTTAATGAAATTAAAGTCCTGATTATAAATCATAACCTGATATATGATGATAATTATCCAGGTTTAATATTATTTGGCTTCCCTCTCCTCAGGTTATGGCTTTGGCTTCCCACAGTCACCGATAGCATCTCCTGCCCAATTAGGTTCTATGCTACAGCAGCCAATTGTTCAAGTAAGTAAATAGATTTTGCATACATAAATGTATTGGCTTGATTGATTGAAGTTGCTTTGGAATGTAAAGAACTAAAAAGCCTTGGCAACTCATCTGGGGTATAAATGCATCAAGTACCAACCCTGCACAAAAAAGTTTTATACATATTTTGAAAGTAACCCTGTGTTTCCAGGACATGGCTTATCAATACGGAAATCAGCTGGCTGCACAGGGACGGGAGGTGGTGCAGCGGGAGATCAACAAGTACGTGCCTGTGTCCCGGCTGCGGTACTACTTCGCAGTGGACACGAGATACGTGTTAAAAAAGTTGCTACTTATCATTTTTCCGTTCACTCATAAGGTAAGTTTAAAAATATTTGTTACTGCATAAAATGTTGTAGTTGCACTCTACAAACTTATTTAAATGAGTTTAAATGATAATGAATTTATAAACAAAAAACTACCACTTTGAGTATTCAGATTTTGATAAAAATTAAGGTCAAATGATATTACTTATCACTGTAGTTAGTAATAGTGTTGAACTTTGATAGTAAATAAGAAAAAAAATAGGACAAAACCATTTGAAATAATGAAGTTGCACATTAGGACATTTTCAATTCCTTAACCAACTTAATTCAAAGCATTGCTAGTGCTGATTTCCAGGCCTGAAATTTAAACATTTGTACATGCCTTATCATTATAAGTTATTAGTTAATTAAGGTAACTAGTATTTAATAGCCCCAAGGAGTCAGTGTAGTATTACTACACTTTCCTATTAACATTCACTGGATATTAGCTTAATTTGTAGTTGAATGTATTTAATTGTTGTGAGTCAATTTTTGTCATCAATCCAACATTTAACATCTAACTTTAATACCATAATTGGTTTGGTACATAAGGCAAACTTAATGCCATTGGGCATTCTCTGCCAGTTAACATTGTGCCTTGTAAAAATGCCATTATTACACATTGACCCTAAATTAAATGGCATTAAGCTAAACCTAATTTATAAATGAAAAATAAAATAAATACAAGGCTTATAAATAAAAAAAATCGTTTATACCGCTTAAACGAAATTAAAAGGCATCTTAATAGTTATTTTAGCGACACCTACTTACGAGCGTACGCTCTACGCACTGGAGCACTTCATCATCATCATCTTTTCAGCCACAGGACATCCACTGCTGAACATTGGCCTCCCCCAATGACTTCCACATCGCACGGTTGGTAGCGGCCTGCATCCAGCGCCTTCCTGCTACCTTTATCAATGGACGTCTCACGCTGCGTTTTCCGGTACGCGGCCTCCATTCCAGAACCTTGCTGCCCCATCGGCCGTCAGTTACTACTATGTGCCCTGCCCACTGCCACTTCAGCTTGCTAATCCGTCGGGCTATGTCAGCGACTTTAGTTCGTTTACGGATCTCCTCATTTCTGATTCGATCTCGTAAAGAAACACCGAGCATAGTCTTCTGGAGCGCTTACCGAGTGTAAAATGCTTGTGGTGGCAGGAATGGATGCTGAAGTACGACCAGGAGTCGCCGGTGCAGCCGCGCTTTGACCTCAACGCGCCCGACCTCTACATCCCGTCCATGGGCTACGTCACCTACGTACTGCTCACCGGATTCGTGCTCGGTGAGTCCACCTACAACTACTAATTAAACTCTTCCACTAAGGCCCAGAACAGACGGTGAAACGCAACTGCAACTGCTAGTTACTTTTGAGTTGCATCTAAGTTTCTGTCATAGCGTCCGTTGAGAGACCACACATGACGCGACCAGTTTGAAACTTTCAGTTTCATTCATCAGAATCATCACAAAGTTGCAGTTGCGTTTCACCGTCTGTTCTGGGCCTAAGAGTAGTTGTTTCCACAACTGTTTAATAAACAGAGGTTTTTGAATTCTCAACAAAATGCTGTAGCTGCATAGTTCGGAAACTTCGGAAGTACCCGTCAATGATTACAGGCGCCAAGGCACATAAAAAAAATCAAACAGTCAATAATTTATGTCGCAAATGTTTTGACATATTATTTCATCTTTTATATGTATTAATTGAGACACGATACATCCAAACCATCTTGCAGGTTGGCTTGGCCATCATATTACGTCATCGTCATCATGCCTGAAAATTAAGATGACGCAATTTATATACACCAGGGGTGGCCAACCGGTCGATTGCGATCAACCGGTCGATTGCGAATATTATTCCAGTCGATCGTGGCAAGGCAAAAAATACTACATGATTGTGTTCCATTTAAGATTTCAAGTAAGTGTAAGTGTTAGATCGCCCAGGGTTTCGTTAGTAAACAGTAGATCTTATGTCTAACCAAGTTGGCCACTCCTGATATACACACAATGTATTAATGTATGAGACCGTTTACAATGTGGTCTTGATGAATATACTTGAACTCAAAATCCAACTACGATAAACTCCTAGTAATTGGCGCTTAATCCACAACCATTTGTAGGTCTCCAGCACCGCTTTTCGCCCGAACAAATAAGCATCCAAGCATCAAGTGCTCTGGCATACATCTTCTTCGAGATGATCTTATACCTGGTGACGTTGTACATCACCAACACCAGCACCAGCCTGAAGACGCTCGACCTGCTGGCGTTCTCGGGCTACAAGTACTGCGCCATGATCGGCAGCGTGTTAGCTGGGCTGCTGCTGGGACGGACGGGGTATTACTGCTGGCTGTTTTACAGCAGTTTAGCGCTGTCGTACTTTTTGGTGAGTTCATGGTGTATTGTTGAAGGTTGAAGTTAAGCAACTAGTGCAGTTCCTCATGCTTCTTTTTAGTTGACTATTAAATTTTGGGCTGATTTATGAATCATGTAACATTTAATTTTCATTCATCATTTAATTCAGCTCATAAACATGTGCTTTACCAGTCCACATTCGATTGTTCCAATAAAAAAAATACATTTTCCTTCCTTTTAAAAATTTAAAAATAATAATTACATTATACTTTCCACAATGGCCGGTTGGTGGCGGCCTGCATCCAGCGCCTTCCCGCTACCTTTATGAGGTCGTTGCTGGAGGCCTATGTTCAGCAGTGGACGTCCTATGGCTGAAATGATCATGATGAATTACATATATATATTTTCTGTTTTATTATTGACTAGCGGTCGCCCGCGACTTCGTACGCGTGGATCCCGTTTTATCCCCTTTAAATTTTTCCTGAATTTTCTTTGCTATAAACCTCACGGAGCCCGAGACCTTTCCAACGAATGCAAAACCGTGGAAATCGGTTCGTGCGTTCTGGAGTTATAGCGTCAGGAAGGAAAACCCGACTTATTTTTATACAGGGTGTTAGGTAAATGGGTATATGAGCCGACACTAGCCCATGTTAACATGGGCATATAAATGGTATGGTGAAGTCAGAAAATTGATATCATCATTTTATTTTATTTTATATTCATACAAAATAAATTTTATAAAATCCGATTTGTATGAAAATTAAAATAATTAAAATGAAGATATCAATTTTCTGACTTCACCATACCATTTATATGACCATGTTAACATGGGCTAGTGTCGGCTCATATACCCATTTACCTAACACCCTGTATAGTAGATCCTTTTATATATTTAGATTAGTCTATAAATCCTGTAATGCGTCCGCAGGTGAAGACACTCCGCGTGCAAGTGCTGACGGGCTCGGGCGGCCCGAGCGGCGGCGCGGCGCCGGCCTACGGGTACGCGGCCGCGCCTGCTTACGCGGAGAACCCCTACGCAGACAACTGGGCCAAGCCCGCCGGCGGTGAGGCTACTTACTCTACGTTTACTTCTAAAGTCTTTGACAACATCATATTTTTTCAAACTATAAATAGAAATATCGATACCTCTGGGCTCAAAGGTCGTAAAGGACAAAATACCGAAAATGAGTTTTTTATACAGTTGTACTCAGAATTTAATTCTCTATCGATCTGTATATTTAGGTTGTCGAAATTCTCAAAAAAAGTGCCTTTACGACCCATCATATTTGATAAGCTAAACAGAATTCATCGTGAAAATTGGGATGTAAATACCATTTGATTTTTTAGTACAGTTATTGTCCTATACAACCCAAATTTTCATACCAAAGTCTAAATAAATTGTCCATTACGCCCTTAGATTATTAAAAAAAATATTTTAAAAATCTACAAAGAGAGGATATTAAAACAACTGAGTAGGTAAATTTTATAGACGTTTCTTATTGTATTTAAGTACTAGCGGCCGCCCGCGACTTCGTACGCGTGGATCTCGTTTTACCCCCCCTTCGTCTATCTTACGCGGTTCAGATTTTTTCATACAATTTTTTTTCCCGCTAACTCCCGTTCCCGTGGGAATTTTGCAATATCCTGTTGTAACTAAGCTTTAAGTTTACTAAGGTACCTGCATGCCAAATTTCAAGCGTCTATCTTACGCGGTTTAGATTTTTTCATACAAATGTTTTACAGACAGACAGACAGACAGACAGACAAAAATTTTACTGATTGCATTTTTGGCATCAGTATCGATCACTAATCACCCCCTGATAGTTATTTTGAAAATATATTTCATGTACAGAATTGACCTCTCTACAGATTTATTATAAGTATAGATGTGCGTTTAGAACACTTAAAGAAAGAACTAAAAATCATTAAAAATATATAATAAAGCTATTTTAGAGTGTAACGATTATGTGATTTATACATTAAAAAATGATTGCATCATCCACATTGGGTAAAGTAATGATGCTTTTTATTATTTCTCATATTTGACGAAATTAGGTATTTGTCAGGTATAAGATTATTAAAAGATGATTTAACAAAATGAAAACATGCTATAAAATAACGTATTACCTAATTAAGTGAGGATAGTCATCATACAAATTTGAAAAATGAAAAAGCTACATGAGAAAAAGAAGTCACCTTACTGTAGTACCATAAGGTGTCATTATTACACGACTGCAGAAGGAGGGTTATGTTTTTTCAAGTGTATGTGTCACACAAATGCTACGCTTTACAATTGTTTTTAATGATTTCCTAGTAATTTTGATTAACGTTCTTTTGAGTTTTGACTGTAACAATTATAATAAACTAGCTGACCCGGCGAACTTCGTACCGCCTTAGCGTAGAGATTTTCTTAATATTTTTTTCCGTAAGAACCATCCTTGGACTTCCACAAACATTTAAAAAAAAGAATTATCGAAATCGGTTCAGCCGTTCACACGTGATGCCGTGACAACGCGAAACGGGTTTCATTTTTATATATATAGATAAGTATAGTTTCTTAAGTTATTTGGATCAGCTAATAAAGTGTAACTAGTAGGAAAAATATTTACGCTTAACATGGGAAAATATGTACTATGGTGTCAGTTGAGACTTAATGTACAAAAAAGCGTGAATGCACTTTTTTCGAAGTTATATTTTTATATTAAAAATAATTGGCTTTTAAAAACTGTATTATGTAAGAGTAAAGTAAGTGGATGTACTTTAGTGGAATGAAAAACTTCCTACTACTCTTATATCGAAAATGATTTCTTCTAGTTCAAAGATATCAAAACTTCTGCTTGCTTAAATAATAGTTTCATAAATTGTGTGCATTAAATTTTGAAGCCATGAAAAATTAATTTATTTCATTTAAAATACTATAATTCATCTATACTTATAATAAATCTGTAAAGAGGTCAATTCTGTACATGAAATATATTTTCAAAATAACTATCAGGGGGTGATTAGTGATCGATACTGATGCCAAAAATGCAATCAGTAAAATTTTTGTCTGTCTGTCTGTCTGTCTGTCTGTCTGTCCGTCTGTATGTTCCTTATAGAAACAAAAACTACTCGACGGATTTTAACGAAACATAGTACAATTATTCTTCGTACTCTTGGGCAGGTTATAGTATACTTAGGAATTCCCACGGGAACGGGAATTAGCGGGAAAATCCTTTTGTATAAAAAATCTAAACCGCTTAAGTTAGACGCTTAAAATTTGGCATGCAGGTATCTTAGTAAACTTAAAGCTTAGTTACAACAGGATATTGCAAAATTCCCACGGGAACGGGAGTTAGCGGAAAAAAAATTGTATGAAAAAATCTAAACCGCGTAAGATAGATGAAGGGGGTAAAACGGGATCCACGCGTACGAAGTCGCGGGCGGCCGCTAGTTAAAAATATGTGAAGAAATGTATTACACATCAAATACCATAAAACATTAAATATTTAAGCTAAATTATCAATTTGCTCTTGCATAATACCTTACCTGGGTGTTCCGTTACGACCTATGAAAACCTATAAAACTCTGTAAATTGTCCTTTATTTCCTTGATTTTGTAGTTTTGTAAAATAAAAATAGACTTACGCCCTGAGTAACTTGCCTAGGACGAATATTTGAGGGGCGTAAAGGTCTTTTTATTGTAATTTTGAGGGCGTAAAGGAAATCTATCTCAGTAAATTCTGCCCTAGTCCAGTTTTTCAATACTTCCTCGGAAAATGCTGTGAATTCTAAGCACTTTCTTCTTAGGTCATATTTTAATAGCTCAAAAAACAAAAAAGTTATTGTCGAATAAAAAAATAAAAAATCGTTTTTTGCTTCTCCTGAAAAGTCGTACTTTGTCCTTTACGACCTTTGAGCCCAGAGGTATCGATATTTAAAAAAACGTATTTAAGTATGTTTATATCCGTTGTCTAGTACCCATAGTACAAGCTTTGCTTAGTTTGGGACTGGAAGCGCAGTGTAAAATGTCCAAGGATATTTATATTTAAATAGAGTAGTTGACTTGACACCAACTGGTCGAAACAACTGATGTATTTGAATTATCAGTTAATTCAGCATTTTAGCTTTACCATAAGTTCACATTATAATAATATGTGATCGCTAACGAGTGCATCAATTTTATATGTATAAAAATTTTAGTTCCTGATTTTAATCCCTAGGGGCGCTGTATAATCTGCCATACATTTTATGTAATTTTTTTATAGTCGCTAGCGAACACACCTAATGTAAACTCATGGTAAATACACAAATCAGTCGTCGACACCGTTGCGCTATTGACGCCATATTTATTCTTTTTCTCAAACAGGTGGCGGCACCAAACGTCGAGTGTACTTCCTGTTATTCGTGGCCATCACGCAGCCGCTGCTGTCCTGGTGGCTCACCTACCACCTCGTGCCCGACGCCGCCCCGCCCGCGGCCCGATAGCGGCCCCCGGCCCACCGGCCCCCTTCCCATCGGCCCCCGGCCCGCGGCGCCGTACTTAGCCCGCTGTCCAGTGGCGGCGTAATGTGTTACTTGACTGTGCATTTGGTGGTTTTAAATTTCGAAGTGTTAAACAAATAAACAACACATGAAGACTAAATGCTGCAATGGATGAATGGACTTTGCTTAATTAATGTGTCAATTCAATGCAACGCCTGCTGCTTGCTAAAACGTTAACTTTTTTATAATAACGTCACTGTAATCTCAATAGTCAAATGGGCTAAATCTTGAACATGCTTGTTTACCTAATTTTTATCAAATGATAGAAAATTTCAATAAAAAAAACAGAAAGGTACTCGTAAGTTGAGAAGCAGGACTTTCTCTAGACGTTTCAGCTCAGTTCAATATCATGATCAACAGAAGAATTTAGGTAAAAACTGTGACACCTTATATACCTTAGATACATATTATGCGACTTGGCAACATTTTTGATAAACTGTCGACTGCTTATGCGACAATCGTTTTGATATCTAAATATAATATACCTCATGAATGTTTCCTTTGGAATTTATCTGCATTTGAGTTTACTTGCATACTGTACGATTTTAACAATAAAAAATAATAAAAAGAAACTATGTTCCTATTATAACTGTCAAATGTACGTTTGAGTTGAACGCATCACTAAATTGGTTTATGCCACTATCGATATAGGGTGAAAGATGTGACTGACTGGGTGATTAAAGGGTGCAATAAATTTTGTAAAAAAGGTGTCATTAAACAAATTGCAATGCTATAATTTCAGCAAGTGCTTAATTTATTCACATCACAAAAATTGCATGTAATGCAATTCCATAGTAGTCAATTTTTACAGTTTGATGTTAACTTGACTATAGAAATGTTTCAATTAAAATATTTTCACCCTGTATTTATATTTCATAGGTTTTTATACTAAAAATGCCGAGAGGTGGCGTTAGTGTCCATGCGTGGATCCATTCGCCTTTTTAATAAATTATGTAACTCATAACATTTTGAATGCTAGATTTAACGTTGTATGTACTAATTTGCCGGTGAGCAGTGACGCCGCCTGTCGTCCGAAATCATTAAACTATTACAAATTGTGAAATAATATGTTTATGTAAATAAATTCAAAGACGGAATGAATCAGTGTCTGTTTATTAAATCATTTTTTTTTTAAATAATATTGTAGAGTACAAATAGCTGACAAATTTTTTAAATGCGGCTTCGTGGTCGTGAGATAAGTCTCACTCTCTTGATCCAGGGTATTTGGTTCGATTCCCAATTTCCTAATTCGGTCGGTGTTTTGGAAAGCACATTAAGCCAGAATTGCAACAACCCGAAAAATTTTAAGGAAAGACGATTTGAATCATGATGAGCAATAAAGAATTAAGACCATGACTAAACAATTACACGATTTCATCACACCCTGTATACTCTGCTACACGTTACGAATCCAACTGTTATCGCACAATTGGTAACTAACAGTCTTCAATTAGGTCGCCGAGTTATGAAACTCTTATTGGACCGATTGAAGCCATGCAGCGCGTGCTTATTGGAGTTATCAATTAAGGGATATCCTATTGGATACCAATAAGATTTCTTTTTCAAAAAATAAATAAGAGTGATTTATTTGATACTCCACGATTTAAGTAATTTCTATTTTCTACAGTGAGTCATTTATAAGGTAAAATAGTGGCTTTTTTACCGAAATCTAGTTTATATTGTCGCTAGCTGTACGTAATAGAAATGAATGAATACTATTACCGAATACGTCAGAGCACCGGTTAAAGTTGAACTTCAACCATTCACCGCTATTATTTTCATTAAAATTTATCGCTTTAACTAACTCTAGCTAGAACAACTCAAGGTAAACCTCTAGTCTGTACAGTGTATCTCAAATAAGCCACGCTGCATCGCAACTGACGAATTTAAATGTACTCAACTGAAACCTGTTTTAGTTCTCTATTCATTCCTGCATGACCTAATACGGAATCTAGCGCGCCTTGGCGTAGGAGCGAGATAGGCATTTCCACCTTGACCTAGTTAGGTCACCTAAGGGGGCGTCCATAANAGCCAGGAGATGTCACCCCTGCCTGAAATTATTTTTTTGTCGGAACATTTTATGTCTCTTACCATCTAAATGCTCTTATTTGAAGTGTGACACGTAGCCCCATCTTGGTGAAACCAAGTGCTCCGGTCATAGCCTTGCGAATCTTTCAGCTTTAAAAATGAAAAAGCTTTTCAGCCTACCAGTATAGCATTCTCAAAAATTAATCATCCTTTCAATGCAACAAACCAATTAAGCAGGGATGAATTCTCACTGCCTTTAAGAAGCGCTAATCTCATTCCAGCAGACTTCTTTTTGCGGGGTTACCTTATGAGCAGAGTATACTCTAATAATCCAAAAACTCTGCAGCATTCATCCATCCTGAATCCACTTCGAGGTAACTCTAACGAAAGTTTTCCAAAATTTTGATGTATGTTGTAAACGTCAAGGGAATCACATGTACGATAAAATTTATAAAAGGAAATAAATTTTAAAATAAATTGCACTAAATTTCCTTTAAATTGCAATAGTTAAAGTTCTACAAAAATGTACAGTTTTCGTTTCATTAAATTTTCAAAAGTTAATTTTCTTCTGGGCCACCCTCTAGTAAATAATATCTGTTAATGTCGAAATATTGCCAAATAAAAAAGGCGATTTTTTTTTCACTGATGGTTTGATGACATGATGCATGCAGTTCAGTGAGATTACGCAGCAAGTAAACGAATTTAATTTTCGCTATTCAATCACACACTCACGATAGCAACCGAAATCGCTCGAATTGATTTGCCCCCTAGACAAGTGGCAAAATCTGACATTATATTCGGACAGATTCGATTTTCGAAAAGTGTGACTAGTCTAGTCTACTAATAGACCCACTGATCGCGTTCGAAGCACCTATGCGGCGCTAAACTCGTCACGACATGAAACGAGACAATGGGCCAACTATCCGGCCGCCGGATATCCGGCTATCCGGCCTAGCAGCTGGCCGGATATCCGGTATCCGGTATCCGGCCAAACAACTATCCGTTTCATCTCTACCAGACATATCGAAACTATATTAAGGGTTCCTTGTCAGGACTAAAAAATGATATTTGTATGATGATAATGTCATTTTATTCTATACAGTAACAAAACAAATACAACTAAAAATGCTTCCGTCTGCATGTGTGAATACTAAAATGCAGAATAAATGACGAAATTAAGAAAATTATAAAACAAGTTCTTTTTTAATCAAAATCGATTTTGCTAGATTATTAGTGATTTTGTAGAAAGGAACAATTAGACTAGGTACTTCTGTAAAAAACAATGTGACCCTAGCTAGTACTAACCGCTGTCACTACACGTGAATTTCTGGATCTATTCGTAATCAGTGGGCTTAGTGCGACTTTACACAATCGTCATCCGCTAGCGACTGCGTAAAAAATGACATACATTAAATGTATGATGATTGTACAGCGTCCCTAGCAGATACTTTCAAGAACTAAAATCTTAAACTTTATAGATCTTTTTGATGCACTCGTTAGCAACAACGTTAAAGCACACAAAAAAAATGTTAAATATTACTCCAAAACTATTAAATTTCGGATTTTTTTTAATATCACGTGAGATTTGGGGGTGGGGGAGGGGGTCAGGCAAAATCTCACCAAATCTCACCAAGGGGGGCGGGGGGGTTGAAAAATAGCCAAAATTGTCTCACGTAATTTATGGACGCCCCCTAAGGCGCAAGCCCTGCCTACGTCTTCGCGCCATATTTAAAAATAAACAAAAAATGTGGTAATTTAAGCTTTGAGTTTTAACTTTGAACAAGCTTTATAAGTTTATGCTTACTTATTTAATATAGGTACCTAATAGTAAAAAAAGTCATCAAACTAGGAAAATCCTTAAATATTTTGTATCTACTATTTAGCTGTAAAAAATACTTATGACAATTGTCTATAATTATTTTTCATTTGTGTTTAAATAGATGAATACAAATTGTGCAAACAATTCCAAGGAAAAATAATTTATAAAATTAATGTTAATCGCTCTATTCAAACCGCGCGCACAAGTTACATCAATATGACAGAAGTTAGCTACAAATGTGATTGGCCTATCAGACAACTTTGGCGCATTATGATATCTTAGTGTTGTCCCACATTACACGGACACCAAAATTTTAGTCATAATCGACTGATATTGTATTAATAAAAAAAAACATTAATTGTATCTAAGAATTTAGGACTAAATAACAAAATCTTTCTTTCTTTTTAATTAACAAACAAATTTTCTGTAATAGTGCTATTTTTAAAGTTTGGCATGGCCATTCAAAATTACTGTGCGAGTCACGTTAAAGTGTACATACTATGAAAATAGATTAAACTAGACCTATTTTTATCGACAAAAAAGAGGTCAATTTTTTTTTGAGATTTTTTTTTTTCAATTTTTTATAGAATTTTTTTTCTTCAAATTACTTATTGTAAAGAAAACGTAATAACTTTTAAACTAAGCGGTAATTATCCTGATAAAATAAAAACAGTAATAATGCTAAATAACAGGCAATACTAAAAAAATACATAAAATACACAAAAAAGGCCAACAAATAATAAAAATTGATACTTTGTGAAAAAAATCTGCTTTTAAATTCATGTTTTTTTGGTTATTTGATAAATTTCTCCAAAAAATGCCCCTATAACAGGTGGTTTTTATTCCTTTGCATTATTTTCTATCGTATTACCTTCGTAAAACCAAAAATCGCATGTCTCTATCCCTATCACAACGTTTGCAATGATCGTTTGAACTAAGCCTCTCCGGGCGCGCCATTCAACGCTGCGTTAACAACGAAACTGAAAATGGCTCTAGATTTGTAATTTTGATAAAGACAAGTTAGATTTCAAATAAAAACAAAAGATATCGAAGTAAAATAAGCATTTTAGTTAAAATTAAAATTGTCTCTACCTGTAGCGGAGAATAATGTTGTGGCAGGCCTTTGTTCAAACGATCATAGCAAATGTTGTGATGTTTTGTTGTGATTTATTGTGATGTTGTGAATAGAGACATGCGATTTTTGGTTTTACAAAGATAATACGATAGAGAATAATACAAAGTAATAAAAACCACCTGTTATAGGGACATTTTTTGGAGAAATTCCTCAAATGACCAAAAAAACACGAATTTAAAAGTAGATTTTTTTCAAAAAGTATCATTTTTTATTATTTGTTGGCCTTTTTTGTGTATTTTATGTATTTTTTTAGTATTGCCTGTTATTTAGCATCATTACTGTTTTTATTTTATCAGGATATACCGCTTAGTTTAAAAGTTATTACGTTTTCTTTACAATAAGTAATTGGAAGAAAAAAAATCTCAAAAAAAATTTGACCTCTTTTTTGTCGATAAAAATAGGTCTAGTTTCATTTATTTTCATATGTACACTTTAACGTGACTCACACTGTATAGTGCACTGTGCTACCAAATTGCTAATTTTGAATGACTGACTGCTGAAATTCCCGTCCGGGCCTGGACGACGCGTGACACTCGTCTACAACGGTTGTTGCACGGTCCCATAACACATAGTTAATCGTCGTGCAGCACGGACGGGCTCCGCTTCGGCCCCGTCCCGGCCTCGGCCCGGTCTAATATAAATCATCCCTTACAATAATGATAAAAATACAGTGCCCCCAATTTTTACGTAAATGCTTAAAATAAAAACTCTATGTAGTTTGATGAGGGATTTTTCAATTATTCATGCCACAACTTAAAATCCTTCTGAAATATGTATAATATGTATGTATTTTAAAAAAAAAGTATATAAGTAGTATATCCGTTAAGCTAGCACCCATAACACAAGCATTAAGTTGCTTACTTTGGGGCTAGCTGGCGATGTGTGAAATTGTCTAAAGATTTATTTATTTATTTACTAGCGGCCGCCCGCGACTTCGTACGCGTGGATCCCGTTTTACCCCCTTCATCTATCTTACGCGGTTTAGATTTTTTCATACAAATGTTTTTTTCCGCTAACTCCCGTTCCCGTGGGAATTTTGCAATATCCTTTTGTAACTAAGCTTCAAGTTTACTAAGGTACCTGCATGCCAAATTTCAAGCGTCTAACTTAAGCGGTTTAGATTTTTCATACAAATGTTTTTTCCCGCTAACTCCCGTTCCCGTGGGAATTTTGCAATATCCTGTTGTAACTAAGCTTTAAGTTTACTAAGGTACCTGCATGCCGAATTTCAAGCGTCTAACTTAAGCGGTTCAGATTTTTCATACAAAACGATTTTCCCGCTAATTCCCATTCCCGTGGGAATTCCTAAGTATCCTATAACCTGCCCAGGAGTATGAAGAATAATTGTACCAAGTTTCGTTAAAATCCGTCGAGTAGTTTTTGTTTCTATAAGGAACATACAGACAGACAGACAGACAGACAGACAGACAGACAGACAGACAGACAGACAAAAATTTTACTGATTGCATTTTTGGCATCAGTATCGATCACTAATCACCCCCTGATAGTTATTTTGAAAATATATTTAATGTACAGAATTGACCTCTCTACAGATTTATTATAAGTATATAGATTTATATCTTAAATAATAATCGAGACACAAACAATAGATGATCAATGTTTTTTGGGATTAATCCAGAAAAAAATGCTCTTCATGATGTTATAAGAATTTTAATTTAAACAATCCTCTACATTCTTTAAACATTTGCTATTAAAAACTATTCGACTAAATGACAAACATTTTATCAAAGCAAACATTACATTCGCTCTTATAACTTTATTTTTTTGTCCGATTTGTTAGACCCGATTTTGTTTCATTTGTTCTGTGTACATCACTAAATTATCAGCTGGTTGCTGTCAAAAAGCAGTGCTACCAATATGACGCTGCGACAGTAACGAACAACTTCACGTCGGTCGAGCGCCACACACAACAATCGCAGCAGTATCGACAAACGTTCACAAAACGTTTAGACGTAAAAACTATAGTGTCACTTCTCTCCTTATTTTAGTAACTAGACCACACAAAATTTATATTTTTTCCGTTGTTTAGTTGTATAAGTGTTAAGTGTAATAGATAAAGTTTATATAATGCATAGTGCCGCAACCGTATACGCATCCTGAAGCAATTACGTAATGGGAATTATGCTAGAGAAGTTTAAAGTTTTGCCCTGAAATTCAACATGGCCGCTGACACAGGAATGGATACTTGTCCCAGTCCGGAAATCACGGACTCTAGAAAAAGACCGCTGGATGGCGACTCAGAGAATGGAGACGTCAAGAGATCACACTTCAGCTCCGGTAAGTGTGGCTCGCCTGGCGAGCACCTAAGCTTACGTGTTGTTTTACTTCATTGCGTACTTGGCAAGGCAGGCATAACATTGACATAGCGCGCTAGTGGTCGATCCAGCTATGTAGTTGGATTCTGACAAGATTCTTATCAGCGCACCGCTGTTATCAGCGTGACCTATTTACAGCGATAGCGAGGTCATTTTGTGCCGAAAATGCCGAAATGTTGTGTCAATTGTTCGGAATAGAACCGAGGAATGTTATAAATGTTTTGACACTGGTTTGAAGCAATAATTCCCCTTTATTACTAAAATTATATGAGTCCGCATAATCCCTCGTTCGATAAGTGTGCATGACAAACTGAATTATCAAAAGCAATTCGACACTGGTTGATAAGCGTCAACATCGAGCGTGCCGCTAGCTAGTCGTAATCTGTAATATTTATTTTATGCAATGTTAAAAGAGACTCGTTATTTTTTAGTGCAAGACTTGGTGACGGCCTTGCCACTGGCCAACGGCCATGGCAATATAACGTCTCATTTCGGTGAGTCGTCAGTCAACTCATTCGCTCCTCATTGGCTTTGTGGTTGTTGTGGCGCGTATGCCCGCGCATCCGCGCCGCCTGCCCGCGGACCGCCCGCGGCCCGGCCCTGAAGCTGCTAGCAGTTGCATAAGGAGTGGCTCCAGGCAATTATGTTGACTCCCAGCTGCAGTCAAAGTGGTTGCCGGACACTCCGTCGCGGCCGCTTCAGGGCCGGGGCGGGCCCGCGGCGCAGGCGGCTCGTCCACTGTCCATGCGCACAGTACATTGCCTCGATGTCGTGAGCCATGTCGTACTTAGCCTCACATCGACCCACTCATGGCTTAGTTGTTGCATCTTTGGTGTGACCATCACCTAATGTACAGTTTCGAACATAACTTGGTGTACCTTGCAATTTCTCTTCTTGAAATTTATTATTTCATATCTGAATGCTTTTATTTTGCTTTTTTATTTGAGAGTCATTCATTTACTAAACTAACAATTGGACGAGATTAACATTTTATTTGCCTAATATTTTCATTCTTTTGTCACACAAGTATTTAGGTGCATACCTAGATTGGCACACTCCCATTCCATATCAATGAATATCATAGTAAGAAAATAGTATTTTATTTATTGGTGTTTTCGATAAGCAATGTGAGTAGTGTTACAAAATGTGTTTGAAGGTTTAGCAGGCTATAGATCGAGCCGATGACAAGCAAGGTCATTGCCGGCCTTAGCTGCACTTCTGTGCTTGATGACTAAGAGCTCAATTCTTTGTTGGATAAGGTTGGTTATCAGTTGTCTGGTTTTGTAACACTCAAGGTTATTAGAGGCAATTTGTTTTGTTCAGAACATGAAGCCATTAATGGCAAGTGTATGTTCATTGCATAATGCTTTGACATTATTTCGCGTGGGATTTCCTTGCATTCTGTTTACTGCACTAAGAAACTGTTTATTTCTACCATAGAAAGAACACTAAACTTCTTTAAGAAGCCTTCAAGTGATTAGGTAAATGTGCGTAAATTGTTTAATATGAAGGGTAGTTGACAAACAGACAAACATAAGACATATTGTCTGTGACTAAATCTAGACGTGTAGGAGGGAAAATAATCTAGTACCGCCGCCAATTTGATCGCAGACGGTGATGATGAAATCAAGTCTCTACGCTACGCTCTTCTCACCATCCACTTGTCGAAACCGTCCCGTTAATAGGACGATCGAACTTTCATTTTTCCAAAATCAATACTTAACTAAATATTTCACAATTCGATGGCATGCTCTACTAAGGCTAAATGCTTTTTTTTAATCTGACGTATTATCACGATTTTCGTGACTAGCTAATGCTATTAGAAATTAAAAGTAAAAGTACCACGGTCATATTATATTCTCACTACCAGCGAATCTCAAGTTTCAGTTTCAATTCGTAAGAACACGTTTCAGTTGATAAGGGTAAGAAAACTACATCGGAAGCATCAGTGCGCTGCCGCTATGCCGCCCTGTAATGTAACTAAGTTTTCAACTGGGTCTTATGTCCCAGTGTAAATATTTGCCATCCAAGCACTCTTGCTGAGTGCATTTAGTTTCCGAGCTGAGGGCCACCAGGCCGCCCGCGACATTTCCTGTTTGCACTAATACACGGTGACGTAATGCTGATTGTTTCCAAATGTGAAGGATGAGGATGACGACAGGTTAGTTAGCGCTATCCTCGTGTTTTACATTGCTTAAAACACTTTCCAGGTGATTACTCCTTTGTTAGGACTATAATATCAAGTCTTACACATACAGTCTTTCATAAAATCCTTCGCTATGAGAGACGAAACGAGATGTACGTTTAAAAATACTTTTTGAATAATATCTTGCGTTCCTCTCATAACGATAAGTAATTTATACCTGCAAGCTTTTGTGGGTCGATGATTTTAATCAACTGGATTAACTTCCCGCTAACCCGTCGGGATTTAGCCGATGTTACCCGGGAACATCCAAGATAGCTGCTAGTGGTAGCACTGCGGCAATATTTCAGATAAATCTGCTAAATTGTTGAGGTTCCAGGATTTCGTCGCCAACGGAAACCGAGATAGGGTAGCTGGAAATTCAATTCTTGCACGGATATCCCTTCCCGTGTAATCTTTGGAGCCAGATAAATCTAACGGAAAAATATTCCAACTACATATTCCTATTTACATCATTTCTCAAACTACTCGATTTTCAGTTTAATCACCTCGAATTCTCGACAGATACATAATTTTAGTTCCGCATGGCAGAATCTTGGGTATCAGTAATACAATATCTTGTAATTCTTAATAGTGTACTAATAAATCGTCTTTTTAATTTTTTCGCATCCTCAAACTAAGAATTATGATTTTCTTGTCTATTTTATCCTCGCCGTGCCAGCAAGTAACTATGATTATTTTGTGTCGAAGTCCGCATAATTTGGGCCGATACGTTTGCGAACGGCTGATCAAACAAACCACGTTTAAAGCGTGGATTCAAAGTTATTGTTCGTTCTGCTGATATTTGGATTTTCATGCAAATTACTAGATATTTATTCGCTAAGTTTCACGTTCTCTATGATTCACTGATGATTAACAACGATTGGAGCTGTGAAACAGCGCATAATCCCAATTTATAATCACAGGATACTTAAAAGATTATTAAAGCCCACGGATATTAAAACATTTGCTTCAAGAAATTTAAGTGAAGATCCCATCGTTTAATTTCCTTCTTATTTCTCATCATAAAGTAGCGTGTATTAGCCAAAGCCATGAATTTACTCAAAAGAGCGTTTAAGTTTGCACCAGCTAATAGCAATAAGCTGAAATGTGTTCGCAAATTACAAAAATATGTTGCTTCAACAAGGACACCGCGCTGTGTCCTATCTATCTCGCTCGTATCATGCTTCGATAATATCGGCGATAGCAAAGCAAACTTATTACTAACTAATTTACTGATACTGCGGCTTCTTGTCGTGAGATAAGCCAGATAAATGTCCGGCGATAACTCGTATCTATATTATTCTGTCAATATCTAGTTGCCGTATCGACTGATAGCGGCACACAGATCGTACTCTAATGAGGGCTATCGTTTTAGCGCTCACCAGTTAGCGCCACTGTAGAAGTAAGGTCCTGTCACTTGCTAGTAGCACCAACGAAGACAGTGGCACCAACTTGTGAGCGCTAAAGTGGTAGGAGGACTATCGCATTTGCACTCATCAAGATGGCGCCACTGTAGAGTAAGGACCTGTCAATCGCCAGGGGTGCCAACTGTTAAGTATAAAAACGATAGCCCTCTTACAAACAGTAATTGAAACCTGTTCCTAACTAAACAATAATTACCTTAGACGGCAGTAGAAAGCGGTAGGGAGAAACCGTTTGTGAATAACTTATGTAATTTACTGATTATTGTCTTTTGTTCTTTGTAAGTTTGTAACCTTTGCTATTCCAAGTTGTATGCAATCGCTTCATTTGCTAATGTTTAGACGGAAACTTTGTTGGCCGATCTTATCTCTAGATGTCCTTGCTGATATTAATGAAAAAAAGAAAGAACAAAAATAATGTACTTCTTGAAAAAGAAAATATAATTCTTTCAGATTCTAATATCAATCTACGTTTTCTTCTCGCGTAAACCGTAGGAGTTTATACGTAATCAGCGCACCGCGTTCTTGAAACAAGCCTGAAGGCGTTCCGATATACGCGGCTTAATTAAACTTTGAAAAGTTAATGTATGTTAATTAGAGCGCCATTAATGGTGTAGGAAAGGCAAGTTAACGCCTGTGGTTTGTATAAATTTACTCTCGGGTTTCATTCAGAAACTTCTTTGAGGAGTTTGTAATTCGAATATCTTTAAATGGGCTGTGTTTAAGAATGTAGTGGAGAGTTTTTTCTCATGATTCCTGAATAAACCTTGCTACGTTCCTTTTGTTCTGTATAGAGCGAGAGTTAAGGCACTCACTCGCAAGCTTCTACCCGTATTTGTTCAAAATGCAAACTTTGTCTATAAACCTGCTAGTCATCCAACAATGTTCTAGGAAATTCCTAATATCAATCACAATGTCATCCAAGTACACTTTGATAACAATCAGTGCAATATCGTCAATGGGATTGTGACAATAGATGCGCGCCCGCACTCCGGCATCGTGATGAATGACAATTAACTGTTACGATTTGTTCTTGTATCTCTTTCTGTTATGTCACAAGACTTCCGTTGTATTCGTATCACTCTAACACATGTTCGCCTTCGTTGGTTAATAAATCATGCAGATATTTGTTTTGTCGCTCATGTGCGCGTTCTCAGCGCCGGATAAAAAATACGATCTAGACTTGAGCATGCACTTGTAGTTTCATTGACCCTCATTATTTTCAGACTTCTATTATCAGATCGTCGTTTTGTGTAAAATAAAATGTGCATGCTAGACGAAAATAAATGTTGGCATGATTAAATAACACGAAACACGATTTCAAAGAAAAAACTCTGATTCTTGTGAAGTTTAGATACAATACAACTTCGCCACACATTTATTCGGTTTTCTAGAAAGTCAAAAGCTATTGCATTGTTCCTTCCAAGACGATCTCCTGAAAAGCGAACAAGGAAGCTCTTGTATTTGTAATGGAGCTCAGGTTTACGATTATGGGCACCCTTTGTTTACTCCCAAAAAATTGTTTAAACACCTCAATAACAGGGAATACAGATGTAAATTCCCCATTACAGCTCAGTGTTTTCACCGTATCCCGCGCGCGTTGGGCACGTACAAAATAAATTAACCAGACATTGAATAGAGGCCTTAAAGCCAATATTATTGTTATCGTTTATTGAATTCCCAGTTATTGTGCCTGCGGTGTCTATTGTTGAGCAATCCAATTGGAATTTCGACGATTCAGACGTTTAAGAGGTATCCGTAAAACAAGACCAATGGGAAATTGGGATTTGTCGTTTCAGTGGGCTCAAACGCAGATGCTGCCCAAGTGGTACATTTTTCCTTTCATGATCTTGGTTATATTGTTTTACTAGCTTTCCGCCCGCGGCTT